TTCAGGGCTATTTCATTGTATCTGCAGAGAATGGTGTCTCTAGAAAAAAAATTATTGCAGTCAGATACAACATCAGGATTGGCCTCCAAAAGAGCCATAGCAAAGGAACACAGAAGGCCTGGTAAGGGAACACAGACCACAGATTATGCCCTGGCTAAGATAATTGAGCCCAGAAGCTCTCTTCATGTTCAAAACCACAAAGAGCAAAAAAGAAAAGGGAACAAAATATAACAACAGAGAAAACATAATTTTCCAAAGAATGAAAACTAAGCAGCATATAATCTCACCTTTGTATTTAGTAGGGATGGTAGCACCCACAAATAATAATATAAATTTCTGAAAAGAAGATGATAGTATACTTACTATATCTTCCAATAATATTCAGCTTATCTTCCCACTCTGAAACCACTCTGAAGTTACTGAAGTTTATTTACATATATAGCATAGCAAGATGACTGTATATTTCAACAAACATTAGGTCAAAAATAGGAACTGAATAACTCTAAAAAAATGCTATTCTTCACAAACTTTGGTAATATCATGTCTTTTCAATATTTTGCCCCTGAGAGCTTTGACATCAAAGCAACCAGCAATTTTGTATCAAGAATGTTAAAAGTGGTGCTTTTGCAAATTTAAAGAATGATATTGAGAGGAAACCACAAACTCGTTTTTTATTTCTCTTCATAGCTGATGGAAATAACTTGTAATGTCAATGTAAAGTCAAAAATACTTGGCATAGGAAGATGGCTTTTTGTAAAAAGCCAAAACTGAAAGCAAATACATCCATTGTTTTAATAAATCTTTAGCTTCTATTAAGACATAGAAAGAAACTTGGCATGGTAGTCTAGCAAGTTTCCTAAGAATTATGCCAGTTTTTTCTTGTAATAAACAGGGCACTAATTCTTAGGATCCAATTAGAAATTCAGATTTGGAGTAACTGAAGAATATCCTACTGCAAAACTCATTTCACCTACCTTTTGTGCTGTTGGTTTAGCTGGGTTAGTACTACTTGCTGAAAATACAGGAATGTTCTGGGAGTTACTGAACATCAGTAACTCATCCTTAGAATCTGCAATCTAAAGAAAGATAAGGAAATGGTGATTTTTGTAGTTATTCATAGAGATTATGTCAATTTGCCAATTTTTGGAGGCTTGATCTTTTTTCATGGTTACTGTACATTATAATGCATAAATATCCAAAGAACAATTAAAATATCTCTTCTTTACTCTTGAGTGCATTTTTAGAAGATGGGAGATTGAGATTTCATATCAACTATAATCAACGGAAGATTAAACATGCATTTCCAGGGTAATAACTTTTCAGTGGAGCTTAAGGGCAGTTTCCCATCAAATTTTACCCAGCCTCCAGGAACATCAGAGAAAGGATTGATCGTTTCCTCTTTCTCCTGCCATGTTTCTTCCCTACTGTTTTTCCTTCCCTTTTTCCTATTTCTCCCGACCAGAAATAACAGACAGAGCCTGTGCAAGATGCTGTCCTCACTGAAAACAAGGTATTTTATATCCTGGGGCAAGTTGATCCAATTCAATTCTGCAACTGCAGAAGTACTCAATCCCAACCCAGTGAAGGCAGCAGGAACATATTCGAGTGAAAGGGCAAATTAAAGACCAGAAGTACTTATTCTGTTGGCAGCCTGAAATTACATCACACAAAGAAAGCATGCAACAGCACCCTTACTTCTGCAAGGCTCTACTAGGCAGCTGGGGAATTAACAACAGAAATTCCAGCCAAGGATGGTTCCACCCATGGTGAGGAAACTGAACAAAAGACTTGACATCTATCTCCTTCCTTATCTAACCAGTATTTCCTTGAATTGTCATCAACAAGCAATTACACTTTGCATGTTATTAAACACAATTTTAAGTTGGTTACCATTTCTTTAAGCACATCCCATTCTTTTAAGGATAGCTACAGTAAATCCCTGCTAACTGACTAGCGATTAGCTTGCCAGCTTGGTGCATGTGACTCATGCATGTACTGTAAATACTTTAAGAAAAACAACCCAAAACAAAACACTATAATAAAGGGTTTCAATAAATAGGTTGAAAAATCTTCCCAAATACAATATTTCTTTTCTTAATAAAAACTTGGTTGTCTTCTAAGAATAAACAGAATACTCAATAAAGCAAAACTAATGGAACTGCTGTTCAGGGATATTCTAGAACATGTCATGCACAGCCTAACTGGACAATAGCCTAAGATTGACTCTATCTGTGTTTCAAGAGATATAGAACAGCTGCTACAGTGTGAACACAGCCTGCTGTCACAGCCATCCACTTCAGCTGTGCTAGGAGGAAAGATGAAAAAGAATAAATAGCTTCAGCCAGAGAGAAAGCTGCATGGTATTAGTATAAAAGGAAAAATGAGAGAGATCCACAGCTCCATATTCTGCCTCAACAGGCCTCCCATAACCAAGCACAACCCATTCCAACATAGAATTTAGCCCATCTATGAGCCCTGCAAGCAGCCTTCACCTTTTTTGCCACTGTTAAAGAACTAGGCCAATCCATCCTCTCTTGCTTGGGACAAGACTGCAGTAAACTGCATCTTGTCTACAGAGCAGGGGAGCTTTGAGACAGTTCTGTGAAGGCTGATGGGATTGTATTAAACAAACCAAATGTTCAATGCATATTAGGGAAAACTTTCTATGTTTTTAAGACTACAGAACAGTTTCCTACTGGGAGCAATGAGAGTGTGAAACATAACAAGGGAACAGTAATGCAGGGATGGCTGTTCTTAGAGAAATGGTAACAACACGAAGCAGAGTTCAAGAAGCATTTGGACAATGCTCTCAGGCTCATGGTGTGACTCTTGGTGTGATCCTATGCAGAGACAGGTGTTGGATTCAACGATCCTTGTGTGCCCCTTTCAACTCAGGCTGTTCTCTGATTTTACAGAAATGTCATTCTCCACTGCAAAAATCTCTACAAGAAAAATTGGTGAAGGTGGAATTTAAAATGGTGTGTGTTAAACCAGAACACTTACCCTCAAATATCTCATATATTAGTTGACTTTGGCTTATTCCCAAATAATTTAATAGTTTTCTTCAGTTCAAGCAGGGCTTGTAAGTTAAAAAATTATTTGAAACACATAACGAACAACTGAATATGGTAATGTAGTAAATTATTTAAAAGACTTTTGTTTACCTTGCTTATATCAGGCTCAGATTTGCTGGAACACATACTTTGAAGTTCCTGCACAAGATCTACTTCATCATCAGAACCAACAGACAGCCTTTGCTCCAGATTTAATGTTCTCAAATGATCCTTCTCTGAAGATCTGGTTAAAAATCCAAACAAACAGAGAAAAAAACGCCAAACAAACAATTTAAGTTAAGCTATTATACAGAATTTAAAAATAAATATTATAGACACCTCAAAAATAGTATTTTTTTTCTTAGATGACCTTTACTACTACAAATAAACACAAAATAACATCTAATGAACTGACAGCAGTGTTGTCAATAATTATCTCATAATAGATCTTTCTATACAAATTATTCTCTCTATTCTGAAAATCTAACAAAGGATTCCTCTGTCTAGTACTTTCAAAGAGTCCCCTCTTTTTAAGATGCATCAATCAATTTCATTCCACTCTGCTTTTTGTAAATAATTCCAAACACTTAAAAAAAACCCACTCTGGCATAATGGAAGCATAAATATTCTATTTTCTCTGTGCCTGTGAATAAGGTAGAACTGAGGCTTGAGATTGAAGTCTCAAATGCAGTTCCCTCTAGCTAGTTCATACACTTTCTCAGGAAAACTCTGTATCAGTGGGACTAAAGTGCATGTACTGTACCATCTTGAATTACCATTCAGCAAGCTGAAATAACCAGAGGAGTTTTTAAAATATAATGCCAGTTGATAAAAGCATACGGACAACTTTTCAAGGCAGAGTAAGTGTTACATAATATTCTTAAGTCATAGAGTATTTTGTTACATAAAAAAGGCATATAGTGCTGCAAGGCTTGAAATAAAGAAATGGACTCTAAAATTATATCAAAGTATATAAATTTTATTTCCTCTTAGAAATGAAAATTAAAAATACTTCAATTTCTTCAGATACGGGACCAAAACATTACCAAAACCACTACTGATCTATTCATTATAGTGCACTGCTTTACAACAGATTGCTATCACCTTTATTTTTTGCAAAGTGTCACAAATACCAGAAATTAAACCTTACTTTGTGGTGAGAGAAGCTCTTTTCTTACAGTTTGGTTGCAACACAGTTTTAGATTTCACACCTGCACAAAAGAGAGATTGACTTGTTAGTGTATTACCATGTCTCTTGATTTCTTTATTTACAAATCTATGATAAACAGGGAAAATATGTTCCCATCTACTAACTAATTCTGTCAACGGGGTCTGTCAAAGATCAGAATACATCCCTTGAAAGTATTCAGGGTGGCATAAGGAACTGCTAAAATGGCAAATAGGGGATGAGTTGACTAAGCTTTTGTGAAAGAGAGGACATGAAGTTTCTGTGTTAGGCACTTGAACCACTCTTACTGGTTCTCCCCAAGAAAAATTTCTTGCCAGCAATAAAATATTTAAATTTGCTTCATAGAGGTAAAATCAATACATTTAACTTTACTGGAAACAGCAACAGCATTTGATTCTGACAGTCCAAAATAGAAGACTACTAAAATTAATTGACCACTCCATTTTTAACTTATTCACAGGTATTAATAGATTCCAAGATCATTCTCAGGTATAAGATACAACATCAACCATCCCACTTCAAGTTACGTTCATTATTTCTTGAATCTTCTTAGTGGGATTAGACAAGTTCACAATTCAAACAGAGAATTGGCAATCAGGACATTAGAGTTAGTCAGAGAAAAGAGACTTCTTTCTGAACAAGGCCTGAAGAAATGAATAGTTCATTTTAGTGCTGCAAATTAGCAAGCCTCAAATATTTTGGTCTTTTGTATATGCAAAAAGTAAGGCTAGAATCTCACTGTTCCTAAAGTGTGTGTGTGTAAGCCACTTTCTCTCTCTTCCTAAATCTTTCCTCTGAAGTAGTTACCTTCATTTTCAGAAAGCAAGTGCTTTGATTTTTTTCCCTGGAAGCTTTTCTGTTTAATATTGTATTTAGTTACAGTAATACTAAGTTTTCCTTCTAGAAATATGTGTCTTTTAGAAGAACTGTGCTGCTTATGAATATATCCATACATTATCTCTATATAATAAATTACTTGTTATATGATTTATGATCTTGAGGTGAAAAGAATTTTCAAAAGTGTCAGCCACTAATATAACTTCCACATTTATACACATGCACAGGCCCAGTCATATAAAGCCCTCTTTATCAAGCAACATACTGAAGATGATTGAAAACCTTACAGTATCTGTGACTACACAAAATTATTTACATTTATTTTTGCCTTTAAAGTGAAAATCAAATAAAAATCTTCAATTTAAACCCAAAGATCTCATTCTTCCACTGCAGGGCTTCTAGATTATTCTACTCAGTTTTTCTAGTGAGACTGAACAAGGGATGTATGATCTGGGAAGAAATGTATTAATTAAATTTTTTGTGGATTCACTCAGTAGCAATTATTGTAGTGAAGTTAGAACCTAAGTGTAAGGAAACTCAAAAAAGTATGTATACTGTAAATTTGGAGCAAATCTAAGGAGTACCAATAAAGTAATGAAGCTTTCTCTCATCTGGTATTGGAGAAGAGACTGATACAGTGTTATGCCATACACACAGAGGTGGAACCACTGCTTACAATTCTACCATCTGAGCCAAGGCCTGCCTCATTATCAGACAACAGAAAGGGCATCAGAGCCCAACTTATTTAGGACACCTCACAGCCACAAAAAAGTAATCTGGGGGGAAAAATAAACAGTGTTTTACTGGTAAACATAAATATAAGTGCAATTTAATAGAAAAATTTTAATTCATGATGAAAGAGATGTTTGATTTGCATCTACATAGTTTAATACCCACAACTTTCAGAACTGAATATAAAAAGCTTTATTTACCTTCAGTATTTGTCTCCTGCTTATTCCATGACTGGGAGGACAAATGGCCTGACTTTTTGCGAGGACTTGTGCTCACTTTTCTCCAAGAAGCATTCTCACCTCTTTTCTTACTACAATTTTTGTAGCTCGAAGCCACAGACAAAGGAAAATTTCCTCCCTTAAAATCTGCTATATAATTATCTAGCTCTGAAACAAAAGTAAAACATCAAATTATTCTTCTTGGAGTAACTTATACAACTACTTAGTTCAAATGCCTTTAACCCCACCACCTCCCTTCAGAACTGCAGTTATGTTTTGTTGAAGTTTTAAAAATGGAAGGAAGCAGTTAAGAGCCCCAGATCAGCAATGTGCAACTACATGGCCTTCAGACAGTTCAGTGTTACCTTGTCTGGGTAGAGGACAGCCATGCAAAACAGCTTTATTTAGCAAGATACTGAGAGCAGCTTTAACAACAGCCTGTTGCCCTTGGCTAGGATTTTTTTTGGCTATTGCTTGTCCTGGTACAGATGGTCTTTTCACAGAGGCTCTGGAGAGTATGGCTTCTTGTACTCTAGGAGCTATCACAGCATTCCATAGCTTGGACATCCACCTGTGATACAAAACCAATCCTTTAACTTCAAAAACAATTATCAAAATCTGCAATTTTATACTTTGGTAACAGATCAGATTTTGTATTTTTAAGAAGCACCCCATTTCAGAGAGGGACTGATTTTTTTTAAGGAAGGGTTTAATTGTTTCTTTCATATTAAACAATTTTATCTAAATTTCTTTAGCTTGCCTTGACAAACTGACCACCTGATGCTTTTCTTCCTTCAGATAAGGACTATAAAACATCCTTTCCATTTTAAGGCTAAAAAATGTCCCAGAAAGATGCGTGTTCATGTATATACAAAAAAGATTTTTTTTTAATTGCATGGAGAAATTTCCATGCTTGCAGGTGTTAATTCTGAGCCTATTGGCTGCCAGCATGGAAAAAAGGAGGTATTCACTTCTGGTTGTACCCCTTCCAGTATTCTTCTATTTCCAAACTTGTACAGTTTACAAGACATTTCTATTCATACAGCTGCCTTGTTCTTACTCCTCTTTTGTTTATTTGATCTATGGTGAACTGTGTTTCCAGGATGCTGTGGATATTCCAGATTGTCTGGTTAAGAGACGGGGTCTGATTTTGATTCAAAAATTAGATTAAAAGGGACATGGGTCTTCTGGGACTTTTGCTTTTCTAAGAGAGAAGCATTATGTTGTATTAGCAAAGAAGTGAAAAATTTGTGATAGGGAAAAATAAATGCTATTTCTTACAACTTATGAGTTCTCTGGGGATAAAGGCAAGAAATTTCAGACTTAGGACTCAGCTCACATCTACAACAGACACTGGGACAATCTTTTTTAGATCAACTTCAACACTTTTTGTTTATTCTTTACCTGTTACAGGACGAAGATAGTAAGATTGAGTCAGGTGGTTTATATTAAAGGTCTGTAAGAAAGTGTAGGCTTCATGCTGTGTTCATCTTTGCAGAAATCCATTCAGGAAACATGAAGGCTAAAATGTCTGACTTAAATGGACCATTTTGCTCGATACACTGATAAACTGAAGCTATCGCATTACCTAAAATATTATGATGACTTTTTTTTTTTTCCATTTTTTTAAAAGTTAGAATACATGAGTTATTTGAAAGATATATTTTTGGTCAGTTGTGAAGCATAAGATTGAGCTTTTATGATATATAAATGCTCAAAGTGCTTTTATAAGCCTGATAAAGTTACTTAAAGTTACTTAAAATTACATAGAAAAGTAATTAGTACAGTTGTTAAATTACAATGTAAAATGTGTATTGTAGGTGGTCCTTGAAGGACCTTGAATCTTCCTTAGCATAACGTTGTAGATATTATTCCATATAGTTACAGTCTGCTTCTGCTAGCTAAGCTACCAAAATAAACAATTACTTGTATTTTAGTCAAAAAGAACTCTCTCATTTCAATTTTTGCCTATGTAAGCTTTCAACATTCAATATTTTGCAATACCACCACTATAAATGGTCAGAAATGAACACTGCAAAGATAAAATTAATTAAGGCCATTCTAACCTAACAGTTAACAATGGATGGGCATGCTCTCCAAATAAAATTCCAACCTGGTATTTAAATCAGTTTTAAGTTTGTGATCATCTTGATCAAGTCCCCTATTCTTTGATATTGCTGATACTTAGCAAATGTATAACAGACCCCTGCCCCTCAAAAAGGGCTGCAAAATGAAAGTCGTTCCTGTTGGAACATCATCTTCAATTCCCTAAACCAAGAAAAAATGTAGTTAAAATTTTCTTCATTTATTCACTCTACTCACCAAAACAGGTGAAGCTATACGAAACACACAGCAGGAAACAATTTCCTGTCACACATTGTCCCTGCCTGCCATGCTGCTGCTTCTTCCTCGTCTCATGCTAACACTGAGCCCAGAGTGAACCCAGTTTGTAGATAGCTGTCTGCTGTCCTAATGAATTGGACTGACTCAGAGAAGCTTTACTAAATGCAAAGAGCAGCAGAATAGCATAGTGGAGAGGAGGGGCAAGAGGAAAGGAGTGATTAATTAGATTGAAATAACAGCAACCAGTGAGCTGCTAATGAAAAGCTATTTATTACATGACCACACTGTTCGCCATCATGTTGCTAAAAACATAAAAAAACATAAAGTGTCCAGTAAGAGCTCACTGGAGCTGTGCGTTTTAGTTTTTCATTAGTGGACAAAAACTAAAGAAGTCAGATGGCATAGGTCTACAATAAAGGACATTTTAGGGATGTATTCAAAATAAAGCATTTTGAAACCAATTAGAGTTACACTGAGGAGAAATCCAGACTCAGAAATGTAAAACTAAGATATCCAAAGAATAGTTTTTCTGTCCTCTATTAATGCCACTGCAATAAATAAATTATTAAAAATTTTCAGAAGACATGATGCATGGTATGCTTTATTCTTATTTTATTTCCCATCACCCATAGAATTTCAAGTCAATGCGATGTTCACATTTAGACTTTGATAATTACTGTGAAGATTAGTATCTAATCCATACTTTTAGAGAATTAAAAGGAAAACAAATAAGCAAAATGTTTCAAGATCTGCAGACAGAACATGAAATGAGACAGCATCTGCACTTGTTAAGCAAAGACCCCTTGTGTTAAGCAAAGGCTCCTGGAAAAAAGGTCAGCAGAAACTAGTACAAGAGAAACAAGTCAGAGAAGGAACAGAAGTGGTGACTTGACTGCTGAGAAAAGTTACGTCTCATCTTCAGAAACCAATGTTATACTTTGAATTCTGAGTAAATTTTAATCTTAATTAGAGGCTCATTACCTTTCTGATATAGCCAAACAACATCTTAGTGCGAAATTAATATAATTTAAAATTATATAACTGTTTCTTTTATCATTTGCTAGTATTTGGAGTTGGAATGTAATAAGATGCTTACGCAATTGTTGGTGAGAAAAGCCAAAATTTCCACAACGTTTTAATATTTTAATATTTTAGTATTAAATAAAATATTTTAATATTTTTAATATTTTTTTATGCTATTGGCCAGCTAGCCGTATGTGTAACTAAACCTGCCCTACTTACTAAGATAATATATTTTTAAATGGTATGTATGTTTTAAAATTATACCACATATTTAAAAGACTGAGAAATCATTCAAACTTCTTTTATATACAACTTCAAAGGGAGAGTTTACCAACTTTTCTGGAACCTTTTAACCTCTGTATCAGAAAATAAATGAAATATCACAAGAAGACTGAGTTTGGTGCAGTGTTAGACACCCATTTCCCACTTGTGTCCTTCATAATTGCCCTTCTAGTAATTAAATAGCTAACAGAAGTTTAAAACTTTCAGCAATTTCAATTAAAATGCTTTTTTAAGGTTGCTGAGTCAGCAGGGTTTTGGGAGAAACACAACTACTACATTTGTGCTAAGTATCTAGTTGGCACTGAACAGCACCAAACAGGAAACAGAAATCTTACTTGACTGTTGCTTGGCTGTGCCCTGGAACCACAGGACAAGAGAAGAAATGCTTTGGCCCCATAAGTGCTTCAGGTGCTCCTAGACGGGATAAGCAAGAGTTCAGCTGGTGCCAAACAGCAAGAATCCAGTCTATGATCTTACACACGGGATCACAGGGAGGAGGTACTTTGCCTCTGAACTGCAGGGAGAAAAGATGTTTGACATGGCATAAGACCAGAGCTGCAAAGACTTTCCTTGAAACCCCAGGAACGCTTGGGGTTTTTTATTGCATGTGTTGCTATTAAAAGATCATGAACAGTCAAGAACAGGTCGAACCTTTTTATAGAATATATTGACATCTTGCTGTATTAAACTTACTTCGCCAACTACACTTGAAAAGATATATCCTCATCAATAAACTGACATTCCTTTACTTTCTTGTGGGAAACTGAGGCAGAAATTTTGTTAGCAGTTGTTTTTCTACAGTGTTTAAGATTAGGATTACAAGAGATACCTACCACAATCAATACAATGTATATGATACAAATAAGGCATATGAAAAATGAAAAAATGCCCAATCACACTTAACAGGAATATCTGATCCAGACATATGCCTAGTGGATTTCCATATTGATTTTAGATCTAGTAGCAGTGAAGGAAAGATGTCTTCCTCTAAGACTTGTGATTTTAGTATGCCTTATTAAGGGGCAATTTATTTAGTGCCAGAAAAATCTCCTGTTTCCTCAGACTTCAAATTACAGTCTACATCATCCTAACCCGAGGATATCCGCTGTAACAGTTTAAATTAAAGGAAGCATTAAAAGATGCACCAGGGTTAGTAACTGGCAGCACTGAAGCTGGAGCCTCTTGATAGTGTCTATAGGTGAACTTAAAAGTAGAATAACATTTAAACTGTTCCCATATAACCTAATGGTTCAAACTAGTTCAAAACTGGAAAAAAGCTTTTCACCTGAACACATGAATATTACGGCACAAATCAGGTATCATAATACAGAGCAATGATCTTTGAAATAGTCTATGGTTCTAACAATAAATGTACTTCTATTTTGCTTTAGAGTTTTACAACAGATTAATCTTTCTTCTATTTTTGACTTTGCAATCCTCTCTTTCAAGTCCCATACCAACTGGCGTTTGAGTTTACATATGGCATATGTATGTATTTCAAAAAATGTACCACCACACTGGGCATGTCAATATTTTAATTAGGGAAGATACAGGAAGACACATGGCTTTTTTTCCAACTAGCCATCTGCATATATGCTCGGGAGAAATGAAACTTAATGAGATTACCACCCAAATTCTGTTCAACCTTTCACTCAGAGGTAGGAGCCCAATACATTGTCAAATTCTAAGCTATTAGATTAAGAATTTCTTTCAAGCCCCAAAAAATAGCCTGAAAATGACATCTGTTATGTGATGCTGCAAGTTCCTGTAGCCAAACCAGTTTGGCAGAGTAGGTCTGATACAGCCTTTGAATATGAACAAGTCATAACTTATAAAACATGATCTAAGAAAAGTAGTCTATTAAGAGGTTCATAGATTTCCCACGATTCTTTTTTTCTATTTTGTATTCTGGTTCTTACAATTAAAGAATATTTAGGAATGTTTCTAAATTTCCTCATTATCCCGGCTGAAATGTTCAATTATCACACATTTCCTCTTCAGGATCTCCTTGAATCAGTAAGCCTTTATAGATGAGAACTGTGGCAAAGGGCACAGGAGATGATATCCCCACGGATAACCAAGACACATCCAGCTGAACACTCAAAACTGACAGTAGGTCTGTTGTCCCACAACAGGACTCTTTATTACTGGCAGTTTTTTCTATTCCTAGAACAATCTCCCTTTTGAAGCCTGTTCAAAACTGCTGCCAAGATTATTTTCCTTTGCAGCTGTTTTGATTAAATTCCCTCTGCCAATGTCTAACAGTGCCTGACTGTTGGTAATAGCTGCTATCACACTCAAATGGTATTCCAAAGTCTACAATTTGAAAGTCTACAATTCTTCTTTTGTCTACATCTTTCTTTTTATTTCCCATCTTCATTTATTTATTAATATTAAAACAGACTTCCCATCTTTATTCTCTTTTGGACTTTTGTTCCAGCTTCAGCAGACCTATTAGCTCAAAAAAACTTTTCTAATTATATAATTTGCCCCTCTTTTACTCTAAAAATAATGGAAAATATTTTTCTGCTTAAAATTTAGACACATATATGACTATCTTATTTTAGATATTGAGACTAAATTTTTTGAAAAAGATATTGTATGTTTATTGAACTGATTTTTACTATCATTCTCAGAAGAATGAAAGAAGAAGTTGAAAAAAATTACTGAAGGATGTTTCATGCAGTGGATAGGCAAGTAGCCACAGTGTCATTATTTGCAACCAACCAATGGTTTATGCCAAATAGCCATGGCCACACACACCTTTCTATGAGGCCAAGCACAAGATTTCTAGATACACAGCCTGTATCTTCCCAAAAATGAATGGTTTTTTTCCTGAAACAACTCAACTTATCTGCCTGCTCTGCTTTTGGCATTACCATATTACACATATTTCACAGACCTGGTGATGAAAGTAACTGCTGAAGCCTATTTGAATTCTTACCTTGTTTATTACTTTTCTCCTTAAAATCCTCTGAAGCAAGCCTCGCATTGGTTCCCCATCCCACCTAAGCTGAACCCAACGGAAATGCTGCTGAACCAGCAGGTCAGAGCCATGAAGATGGCACTTTGCGATGGTCCCCAGTAAAAAGCAGTTCTCATGAAAGTAAAAAGCACCAGAAACTCCATTTGCTAAAAAGGAACCATAAAACACTTAACTGAAATACTCAAAGCCTTGACATGATTTCATATAAAAATAAGAAACAGTGACATAATTAGAAAGGAAAAACAACCCACAAAACACCATGAATTAGCTAAAAAATATGCTATCTTTGTTAAGGACAACTGTTTACAGTAAAATATAACAACTGAACAAATTTATTTTTTTTCTCCTGTTCCCTGTTTATCATATATTACAATAAAGCTGTACTGTAGTCAAAGCATTTCTGCAACCCAAATTCTTTAAATACCTCTTTGAATAGTGCAGGGATTTTCCGAACTTCGATTCTCAAGAGGTGCTAGAAAATCTCCAAGTAATTCAGATAAAGAAGCTCTCTCCAGATTTTCTAAAATCACAATTGTTGTCTTGTTTACAGGAGGCTGCTTCACTGGGATCAGACAAGCTGAAATAGAAAAATCCCATTAATGTATACTTAGGAAAATTTACTTCTATTTATGTATACAGATTTTACTGCTACTACTGCAACAACGGATTTTAAATCTTTTTTGCCTTTTTAACTTGTTTACAGAAGCAGACAGACTGGATAATAAGTTTAAAATTGAAGGCATAAAATCAAACAATAGAAAGAATATCATACTGTATATGAAGAAAAAAATGGAAAGCTATGATTAAAATAAATTTCTGAAATGGCTATAATAGGATCTTCATAGATAGGAAAGATTTCAGTACACTGAATATAAATGCACCAGAAAAGATAACAAAGACCTCTTTAAACACTTCTTTAATTTGCTGTTACTACATCTTAAACTTTTGTACTCTTTATACCATGTAGTGATAAAAGGCTTAAGAATAGTCCATGCTTGTAAGAAACTTTATCATTCCATGAGATAGTAGCAAACTTCTATGAGAAGTAGGCAATCTTCTCTTCAAAACGACCTTCAATATCTTTAAGAATCACTCAAATAATTGGAGCTTGTATGAGGCAAACCCAGTAGCACCTGAACCCAATAGACATTAAAATGACATCTATATATTTTTTAACATTTTAAATATTTTCCTTTAATTTTCCTGATTTTAAGCTTGTTGCTTAAAGAAGAAAGTTAAATCCCAGGTGAATGCTTCTGTAATACATATATAAAACAAAACACTTATCTTGACTATATTGTGCACTGCATTGTTTCACAACCTTTTGAAGGTGGTACTAACAATGGTCATTAAAGAAATTGACTTGTAATAAGGCAAAACTTACAGCAACTGACTGTATCTGATCATTGCTATTTAGTTGTAGTTTCCTCACTATTACTGCCCTGCTTTACTAAGAGGCTACAGCTTGAGAGGTGGGAGGACATGTACCCCCTCTGTGTCTGATGGACTCATTTAGGGGAGAAATGCTCTCTCAGGAAAGGAGATGCAGCAGAACAGTGGGGAAAGAAGCCGGCAGAAAAATGAGAGACTTGACCAGCAGCACCATGCTGAAATGCAAAACCAGACTATTAAAAAGAATGTGTTGCTGACACAGAGTAAAGCATCCAAAAGAAGCAGCTTTCCTAAGAGACAGTAGCCAGTAAACAAACTGAACTATGACTGACATTCTTGCCTCCAGGCCAAGCACCGAAGCCTGGCTGACTTCTGACTAAGTATTCTCTTCTCTCTCACCAATGTGATGGCACTGAAAGAGACAGCTGGGAATAATCACTGGCACAAACTATCCTGGGCAATGTAACCAGGATTTCCTTAGAGAAAAAACTGCCATAGACTGAAGTTACACCAGGCAATACAAGAACAAGCAGAACAGAGCAATGCATGGCATTGTAAACCTGATAGGATGGCTCTGCTTTTGTTCATGAGCACACACAGTACACCTTTAGTTTCAATTCAGCAGATCTGAACCAGAGCAATCAACTTTTAAAGGATCACAAAGAGAAAAAAGAATGAGACAGAATTAAATATTTAAAACTACTAACTTTGCTTAAATGGCAGGAACTTTTGACAGAGCTCCTTACTGGGAGCTCTGTCACGCTCAGCTGTCCCTCAGTTTAGACTCGTATATTTGGCCTCAAGCACCTGAAAAACTATGGGTTCCATTAAAACATGCCATCCACTATGCAAAATGGTTTTACGTATTTCTTTACTTTGCACTGTTAAAAGTCTTCCTACAAATCACCAAAATTAGTCTTGCTGAAATAACCTTACCATTACTGATGAACAGTTCTGCAAGTTGCTCCTTGGAGAAACCAGCATCCACTTCAACTTTAACAATCTCACATGTAGACCCTGCAGCCACTTGCTTTTGCTGTGTTGAAAATTTATATATTTGGTGAAATAGTGAAAACTCTGGTTTATGGACTAATTTACTTGATATGTTTGTGCAAATACCTTCATGCAGGCCGCTATCTGATATGCTATATAATCTTGCAAACTTCCTTCTGGACCATGGAAAATGACATTACGGTACTGTTCAACCTACAGACAGATAAATATAAATATTTATTTCATAAATAAATTATTCTTGGAAGTTCAGACTTGCGTTTCTTTTTAACCTAGATGACACAACCAGCACCTAAAACACAAAATTCTTTGATTTGCACTATTGGAGGTGATAATCCTTATTATACTAATTTCAAAGTAGATGATATTTGCATACATCTTGGAAATGTATTTATAAATTTATATCCTAACTTGTAAAACTACATAGCAAGGTATTTTGTTACAACAGACTTTAAAACTTAAAACATTCAACTGGGAAGAATAAGTTTAGTAATCACAAATATTTTCTTGAACTTGAATTAAAATATATACATCAAAATGATGCCGAAGTCATCAGTTTAGGTCAGTGCTAAGTTAAGGATTAAGACTGAGGACTTTATCTGCAGTAGAAATGGGATCATGTTATCAGTATGATAGAACATTTTTTTTTATTTTAACGCTATTTTACCTCTGAAATGTCATTAAAGGAATACATTTGTATCTCTGTGCAATATAGCCGAATACAGCAGAAACCTGTGGCACGTTCTCCTGGCAACATAAAATACTATCCAAGGACACAGCAGAAATTAAGCAGGTTCTAAACTAATTCTGATTTGATGCAACATTAAAAGAAATTACCTATGAAAGTTATATTATTCAATTATCCTTACATTTTGAGGTATTAAACTCATTAAAACGTTTTACAGGAGATTTCTACACAGGTTTGTAATAAAATTCAAGTCTCAAATAATTGCTTACATGAATATTATTCTAATTCACTTTCTCCTCAGTAAGTGGAGTAAAATAACTTTGGAAAGCAATAAGATCTCAGAGAGCTTTTAATATATTTTTAAGCAGTTCAGTTAATCAGATAGCAGCTATTTAAAGAAGAAAGTTAATGCCCTCACAAGGCTAAAGTTAAGGGTAAATTTAGGGGTAACTTTATTTTAAAACAGCTTTCATCCCATTTCATTTTTTTAGAAGTCTTGATTGTCTTTCACAGAGCAAAAAACCCTGATTTTAGTCAATACTATTACAGAAGTATTTTGACAAACAATTAGCATGCAGAGAGAACCAAGCTTATTACTGACCAGGCGGAGATAATTCTGAAGTGTCTGAAGATGGATCATGGATGCATAAGTGACACTGTTTAGACAGCCTTCTTGAGGTCCTTAAAATAAGACATACAAATAACTTATGTAAATCTCTCATGTTTACATGCATGCATGACTGATGCATATGATTTTCATACAGTATTTTACAGCAACCTTTTAAAATTAGAGCCTATGCAAATTAAAATGCTGAATAAATGCAAGGCATTTAGCTAGCACCAGAGGTTCCCAGGTATCCATGATAAGCGATATATATATACTACTATATGGCTGAAAAAGGCAGTAGGACTTTCATGTGCCAGCATATTTTCTAAATGTGGTAGACACTTTAAAATCTAGTTAAGCAATTAAATGGATATGATGTCTCTGAGAATCAAGCAACACTGAAGAACAAAACCAGTAGCAAATGACTCTCAAATTATTTATTACATATGGAGTGTCTTAACATTCAAAACTGAAAAATTATTACTTGAAAATTACCAAACAGAAACACTGTGATATGTTCAGCTCTATTGTTCTTCAAAAAGTCCCATGGTGGCTGGGAAAAAATCTGACCTGTTGACCATGAAATGTTTCCTGGTAAAAAATAAAAATAAGAGAGAGTATGTATGTAAAGTGTCCTACACTCAAGCATATTTGCTTGCTTAACAAAGAATATGTGCATACACTGACAAATTTGACAAACAAACCAGTCTCATGTATGAGAAGTACTAAATCATGCTATTATTTGATATATGACTGAAGCTACTAGTGTTTTCTACCAGTTGAGACACAAGTTAAACAGCTAGCCTGTCATTTTATCTTTACACATAAAATCGAGTAAAATAGAATAATTTGCCCAGTCTAATGTGTCTAGGCTTCAGTTTTGCTGATGGGAAATGAAGTAAGGAAGGAGATTTAAGATAAAAGATACAGATTTTCAGAAACCTATACAACTGTTATAATACCACCACATTTTGGCCAATTTCTCATAATTTTAAAGATTTCTCTTTTGTATCTTGCTAAGTGAAGTTATGTGAAACAGCAGTTCTGTTTACCTATGCCAATGATTTACAGTCTGTATTTACTGAATATCCTAGATGTTCTGTAAAAAAGCAATGCATGCTTTGAATTGTTTTTGTAGAACCACAGAATAACCTTACTTGGAAGAGACTCACAAGGATCATCAAAGTCAAACTCCTGGCTCTACACAGGACATCCCAAGAGTCACATGAGCCTGAGAGCATTGTCCAAATGCTTCTTGAATTCTGTCAGGCTGCTGCTGTGACCACTTCCCTGGGGAGCCCACTCTAGGTGCCCAAACACCCTCTGGGTGAAGAATCTTTTTCTAACACACAACCTAAACCTCCTCTGACACAACTTCAGGCGAATCCCTCAAGTCCTGCCACTGGTCACAAGAGTGAAGAGATCAGTGTCTGCCCTTTCTCTTCCCCTCATGAGGAAGTGGTAACTGCAATGAGGTACTGAGGCATCCAAAACTGCACACAGCACTCAGGGTGAGAATTTAGAATCACCTGAGATACTGATTTCTCCTCTGGAGTACTGAAAGTACTAAAAGACTATTTAACATAAGGCCTCATGATCTCCAAGGTGATATTAAAGTGCCCAATTAATTGTGCCATACACACAGCTAAAAGTAAGGAATACTTTCATGCCAGCACTGTTCAAAGTCTATATTTAGTATTGGCCTTTCTTAGTCTAAGCTTTAAAAGATCCAGCAATTCAAATATATTTTTATCTTACTTAGAAGATTTCAAAAATTCAAGAACACCCCGAAGTTTTACTTTTCTCATTAACACCAATATTGATACCTAGTTTGATGGAAAATATACTGCTTGCATTGAGGCCAATGTTGGATTCTGCAGCACTATGAAATGACAGATCTTCTAGGCTCTTCCATCCATCAGAAGCAATTGCTTGGAAATGGTTTGTCACTGCCTGACTCACTGCTTTTGAAAAATCATCCCATGACGTCTGCTTGCGGATATTTAAAGCACATATTGTATCAAATTCCTCTGTACCGCAATGGACTGGTTCAATGTCTCTGACTGAAATCCTTACAGGTACATTAAGAGCATCTGTTGACAAACAAAACACCAACTATGAGAAAAACCATAAAACTCAATTTGAAATAATCCCATTATTATAAACCAATATAATCTAATATTACAAAGGAAAGCTACAAAATAAATCCTGCTACAAAGAAGCAAATGGTAAAGAAAGCACAGATCACCACCACAAAATCACAGCAGTGATGAAAATACCAAGGTATCTATAATTTTTTACAAAAAAAGTTCAGTATTATTATGCTTAAATAACAGGAAAAAGATAAAATTTATTTAATCTTATACCTCCTCTTTATAAACTAATTATTTATACATTAAAACAGATGGTAGGCAATGTCTTACTTTTTCAGTTCATTTGTGCATATTTTTTATTATCAATGTAGAAAATAATTTCCTGGCACTAGTGCACAAGTGGAAAACACAGCTGAGCCAAACATCTTTAAATAAAAAGCTAAGACAGAAAATGAACTTGAAAGGGTACATTTGATTTGCCATAGAGTAAATTGACAAAAAAAAAAATTTACATGCACATTGTAGAAACTGTGAAGTATTTTAAATCTTGCTCTTTGAAATACAACTCAACAGAAGCAGCAGTCTCTGGAGATCATTTAGATGACTAAAAATGAAAAGGAAACTCTCTTCTAATTTTCACACCAAACAATACCTTTCAGAAATTATTAAATTAAAATTACATTCAAAAAGTACACCATATCAGCTTATTACGAACGATAATAACAACCTTATCTTGCAACATCTTTTTTTTCCCTTTTGTGTGCAGAAGCCAGATCTTCAGCTGATACAAACCAATGACGTTTTCCTGATGTCAAAAAACCTCTGATTTAAACCCACTAGCCTACCACAGGGAAAAGATTACTCAGAGGCATCCTTCAGAAGTGGAATTGTGAGAAATGCATCAAAGGCTTGCCCTTCTGAAGGCTGGACCTCAGGGAAATGAGCACAGATTATAAGGATTCTCCACAAGGAACCAGGCCCCTAGGAAAGAGGTACAGTATATGCCTACATCTCAATGCATGTGACCACTAAGGCACAGCTGGCAATCCTGGCCCCAGTCACAGCACATCCTCCTGTCCTACACTGGAAACCTTACTGGAGTGTGAGGAAAGTAGAGGATGGTACATAGACACCTCACCCAAAAATGCAGCCTTGGATAAGGTGCACAGAAGAAGAGAAGGCGGGGCCAAAGGTTCTGACCCGATAAAAGCCATTGGATTCATGACAAGCATGACCAGAGACACAGGGTACTAAGACTGATGGAAATTATACAAGCATTAATTTCACAGGCTGCAGATTCAGCCATCAGACATTTGCTTCAGTCTGATAAAGAAGATGACCATGGAGTGTCTATCAGAAAGTGAGCTGTGTTCCCCTCTGAATCTGCAGTAAAATGGTAAGAACTGGGATTTAAAATAGCTAAAGAGGGAAATCAGAAGCAGCAGACAGAAAACTTCCTTAATTTGCTGATAATCAGTGAACTTAACTACCCACATCCCTATATCCCACAATACCAAAAAAAAAAAAGACTGAAAAAATACAGAGCATACAAATCTACAAGTGCCATAATTCTAACCATATAGAAAAATATAGATATCTTTCTCTGTATATATAGATATAGCTATATCTAGATTTATACAGTGATAAAAAATACACAAAACTAGTGAGAGGAAGAATTAAGTTCTGTCTCAAGAAACACACAGATGAGCCTGCTCTACTGAATTTTGAGAAAACTTACAGAGAAGGAAGAAGATGACAGGTTTCAACAGAAGAGCAATCGTCTTACATAAGTTACTGATACTGGAAAAAAGAAGTTCTTTGATGTTGTCTCTAAGATATATTTGAAGAATCAAACAAACAATCCCCTCACTGATAAACAAGTGACAAAATAAACTATGCTCTAAAAAGAGATTCAGATATGACTAGATGATCATCTTAGCCTGAGGAAATTTGACAGCTACCCACCACTAAGTGACTATCTCTGCAAGATTAGATAAGAGGAGAGCAATAGCTTTTGAAAAAGTAATTACTAATATTAAATTCAGAAATTTTAAGAGGATGGATATTTGCAAATGTACAGTATGTACCATCTTTTTGAATGATTTAGAAACAAAGACATGAGGAATTTAATAACCTCTAATAAAATTTTATCATATGCTTTTGAAAAATTTGGAGAATACAAACTTGCTAGATCAAGGTAATTTAATATTGTGGTGCCAAAAAAAGTGACAACTACCCTTTTCTTATTTCTCACTTTTACCCCAAAAGTTCTTTACTAAAAACATTTTTGTGTAGTGCTGATAGCATTTACTTACTTAAGTTTTCTAGGAGATGTTTGCAATCATCAGTAGCAACATCATGCAATGTTCGATTACACTTGTCTTTTCTCTCAGCCTCTAGTCCACCATGGCTACAAAGGATTTCTAGACAGTTCTGCAAAGGTAGGAACTGTATTATTTACTTGTCCATTTGTTGCACTAAAGTGTTCTACCAATATGCAGTTAGATTCCTAATTAAAATTCTTACACATGCATTTCCAAAGACAATCAGCTACAGAGGTTCTGAAGATAAAATGTTTCTCACACATCAGAGTTGAAAACCAGGAGTAAAAATATTTTATGCAGATTTGAAAGTCTCAAATAATGACTATAAAGAAGCAGAACACACAGGGTTCTACAGTCTCTCAGCATCAAGTACTGCTTAGCTGATTTAAGAAATTCTTACATCTGGCCACTAGTTTAGGTATTGATGAGAGAGAAACCCAGCTATTATCCTGGTTTGAACATCTTGGCCTTAATGTTCAAGCAACACTAAATTAAGCAATTCTAAAGCTTAACACAGACTAATAAATGAATCTATTTAGGTAACAATCCATAAAACCAGTTTTCACTTTGCAATTCACCAAGTAGGAGCTTCCATCGTGACTGACACCTGAGTGGGATACAAAAAAAGAATCATTTTAAAATCACCTTGCAAGCCTTTTTTTTGGCAGAATTTCTGCAAGCAGAAACCTGAAATTCTGCAGGCATCGTAAGACTGCAGTGATATAAAAAGGTATTTTATTAAGTCAGAGCACAAACATCTTGTGGATGACAACAACATGATGCCCTCTAAAAAATGTCACAGGCTCAACAAAAGGAAAAATCATTGAAATTAGAAACATAAGCTAATTATAAGCTATTTGCTTGTAAATTTGGATTGTTAGAATTATACTGTAACATGAAAAAATATTTACTATATAAATCCTCCAAAATTATTGTGGGATAAAAGAGTTCTCATAAAACTACATTCAAATTGATTGATTAGCAATCAGAAAAAGGATCAACTCCTTGTTTCTAATGATCATCATTCTGCAACAAAACAGGTGGCCTTAATGAAAGTTTTCCCCTCTCAGATATGCTTTTAAAGACACATCTGAAGTGTTAAAAAAAGAAACCAACAGAAATTATAGTAGGTAATACTGTATTGATAATGTCTGATGTTAACCATAGCAGAGAAATAAAACCTTAAAAAGATAGAGAAGCAGCTATTGAGTACTTTGATGCAGAACAGTGGCAAGTTGCAGGCTGACATAGTGTTACCTATTTTGTAGCTGTTCTACAGTGACTTCTGTCACTGTATGACACCCTGAGACCTTTCATAAATATAGCAGTCATTCAAGGTGTATCTGCCTGAGATGAAATTTTACCAGGCTGCAGTTACAGCATATAAGTACTTTAAAAAAAATTATTAGCTCACTAAGCTTGCCAGAAGGATATCAAGCAGAAAAAAGCATGTATTTTCTTGCCAGGTTAGTTTGTTAACACTATCCAGGAGCAATGAATAGCAGAACAGCAGAAGGCTGAAGACTGAACTGTGAGGCTGAAAATGGGAAGAAAAGCAGGAAGAAGTGCGACAGAACAAAGAAACTAATCTTATTTCCTTAGTAAAATGGGGATTTTTGTTGTCTCTGCTCTCTGTGAAATAACAGCTAAGATGTCCTAGCAGAATTGATCTGTAAGGAATGGCCCCTACCTATCTCAAAACAAGAGGATGCAAGTGTCAGCACTGCTTATATGCAGCTATCATGCACTGGAATGAATGACATGCAGGGAACATAATGGATTAGAAAATTAAGTTGAACTGTTAACTGTTAGCACTTGGAGATGGCTATGAGGCTTTTTTAGCTTTTAAATATCCAAAACATATCTCAAGTCAATAAATGCATTAAATCAAATAGAATTTTATAGTTTCTGCAACATCAAAACCAGGAATCCAATTACCAGCTGAACATTGCCTTCATCACCTAAGAGACTCCCCTCAACCCCAAATGGCGATCTTATTAAACAGATGACTTGGAATGTGCTTAGAAACTCAAACCCTTGAGTTATTCATGAAAAACATACATGAAGACTTCCAGTGTCAGAACTTTCAGAGAGATCACCTAGTCAAAGTAGTTTCAGATGGTGAATGAAACCTAAACTCAAAGTTCCTGAGGATTATATTATTGCAGAAAGAGTCAACATAGTGTGCATTATTTAGGTATTTGAAGACTATAGCAAATACCTTAAACTCCATCTAAATTCATATGAGTGAAAACTGGAATGAGAGTCTGCACCTGCCTAACAGTATTTGGTAATGGAACTATGACTCTGTAATGCAAAATGCTGAGTAAGCAGTGGCTGTCCCTAAAACACCCCATAACTTAAATTGAATCTTAAATCTGTGTCTATTTTGAATGCAAATTTATCAAGAGAAAAAGTAAACATAATGACAGGTATTGAACTAGGCATGTAAACATAAGCTGATTTTTGAAGTCTTGGACTGTATTTTCTTAAAATTCACCCTTCTGTGTTTAGCACCCTTTGTTTTCTTCCTGGGTAAAAATTTTACAGTGGGATCTGACTGACAGCTACCATATAAAAGAAGTCCTTTAAATGGTCAGTGTTAGAAGTCTATAGCTTGTGATATCAAGAAATGATATTTCCAGAATTCTTCCTGTTTGTCATCAGTAGGACCTGTCAAGTCATCCTCCATGTCATCAGTTATTTCAACCTCACAAAAATGTTTCATTGCCTGCTAAAAAGGCTGCCCAAAATAATAAATTAAACAATGTATGTCTGCACAAATCTGGTTCTCAAATTTCTTCTTCTCCCCTCCTTCACAGAGGAAAAATTGTTCATAGTGAAATCATTCCTACCTGTAGCTGGAAATTATATCCATCTAATATCTATAAGCACATGACATCCAATGAATTTGCATTCATGGTGGGATTCATCTTACCTTAACTTTGAAAATCTCCAGTAATGATGTTTCCTCTTTTTATTACTTCCCCATAATAGGCAGATATTTAAATATGATAATTCACTCCATTTGATGTCTGGATTCTGGGACAAATTGTCCACTGGATGTCTATCTCTGTCTCTGTTAAATCAAGTTGGTCTATAAACTAGATAAAAAAACTTAGACTTGACATCTAAGTTGTAATTCTTCAAAGATAAAAGAAAAGTATTTATTCTGCCTAAATTCTATCATGTCACTGTAACTTGTTGACATGAACTAACCTTAAAGCCTTTTGATGCTGCTATATGGGCAGCAGTCCAACCCTCATTGTCAGCGTGGTTGATGAGATCTGCAGAAACAACAGGCTTTACTCTACTCCTATAGTCATCTTCTCTCTTCTCCAAATCAAAGTAGTCTAAATTAGGCTCTGCGTCCATCAAACAGTTCCCATTGTTTGGCTCTCCATAGTACATAAGGAGCTTGAGACTTTCAACATTACCAGAATCCACTGCTGCATGAATTGGTGACCAGCCATCCTAAAAAAAAACAAAATCAAAAAGCACACTGCCACCAAACACATAGAAAAATGTCTGCAGACTTGTATCAGCAAGAATCTGAATGGAAGGCTCTGTCTGAAAATTAAGAAGACAAGCAAGAGTGACATAATAATCCTTTGGAAAACAGAGTTTCTTGTATGTGTTTTGGGTGGAAGAGAGGGAAGAAAATGTAACAGAAAAAAATTGCACAGCTTTCTCCTAGCACAGTCCAACAGACAAAGTCTTCAAAATTTTTAAAAGAACCTAAGGGATACAGGGCTCACATGCTGTTAGTAAACTGCTTCCTTCCTTTGTGCATCAAACAAAAATGATTCCAACTATCAGTATTGTTTCATGTTGCATTAATCCATTTATTAGTCAGTATCACAGTTTTGACATCACAACTTTCTCTCATTCCAAGTCAAATATATTTACTTTCCAGTTGCAAAATAAATAAATGATAAAAAATTTAGTGTAATAATTACAGGAGCAGTAGAATGTTCTGTGAAGCTATTACTTTTTCTGCTGTATTTTGGAACAGCCTATAACCCACATTTATTGTCATAAGAATCTATTGACATCAGAGTAATAAAAAAACTTTAGAAAAGCACCTGAAAAAGGCAATTATGTAGGCACTAATTTTGAGACAGTCCTCCTCCCCTTCTCCTCTAAATACAACTTTTTTTTGGCCATATTCTGCCATTTGTAATATATGAGACTTTACAATACTGGCAAGAAAGTTTTGGGGTGTTATCCCTTCAACGACAACAATAAAGCACCCTAACATAAAAAGTGGAAGAAAAATTCCTATCTCCACTTCTCCACCTTAAAAATAAGTCAAACCAGAAAAGTTTCATTTTACAAATCCAGTGCTGGAGAAAAGTTGCAGCAAATTGCCAACGGAATCTGAAGTATGTAAAATGGTATGAAAGTCATATCATTTAGGAGATATTACACAACATACAGTTAAAAAACCCCCAGAAAGTATGATGAAAATAACAAAATACTAATTTCAAATAATATAGTTTATTCCAGTTTTAAAGAAAAGTTTCAAGAAATATTTTAATGTTAATATTCAGTACTATACAAGGTTCTGTAACTTTACAAACTGTTTTAACTTACACTGGTTTTTATTGTTCGATCCGCTCCACCTTCCAACAATAGTTTAATACAATCGTTATTTCCATTTTTACAGGCCAGGTACAAAGGTGTTTGTCCTCTTTCAGCAGCATGGTTTATATCAGCCTGATACATAATTAATAATTCTGCACATCTACAGCAAACAATAAAGCAATAAAATTGTTTTATGATAGACATCCAACACCTCTTTATGAACATTTAAATATTTAAATAAATATTGATTTTACAGATACAGATCTACCTGTGATTAACCCATATACACAAGTATAATTTTGTACATATGTATAAAGATAGGCTACTTTAAACATGTAAATCTTAAACTACTGTAGCTGCATTTAAAAATTGTGACTGTATAACACTGAATTTCACAAGACTGATAAAAACTTGATGACAGCTGCTTAAGAAAAACATTCAGCTGAGCAAAATAAGAAACATTTCTGACTGCTGATATTTAAAATAGAATTTAAAAGAAAAGGGAAAAATAAAATGAGGACTAGCTTTACCAGAAAAAGGGACACTCATCTAGGGAAGTAACCTGGTGGGGGCAGCAAAACAGCTATGGCAGATCCCTGAATAAAGACTACTCCAGAAGGACGGCTTGGGTGCATTGCTAGCAGCTACTGCGTTACGGAGAATGGAAGATTAGATGGCGTGCTGAAGAGCAATTCACCTGGGGCTGGCATTCAGATCCAAGTTCCTGAACTTCCTCACAACCCTGTAGCAATAGGTCCATTTTTTTCCCCAGGTTCTTGTGCCAGCATTGGTTACCTTTCCCTTCCCCAACCTAGCTTTTCAACAACACTCAAGACCTCGCAAAAATCTTAATGCCAGTCAATTCACTCTGCAGTTCAAACAAGCACTGTTAACAGAGATAAGTTCCCAGCTCTCCAGCTCATAATTTTTATTGATCAGTCCATAAAAATAGAAAGCATATCAACAATAAAGCCTCAAAGCAGTTACTGCAATGCCAAATAACTATTGATTAGGAGACCATACTGTAACAAAATATACTGTATGTTATATACTGTAACAAAATATTTAAACCAATGTAAGGTATATATAACAATATAAGTATATAAGAAACTATATACTAAAAAAACCAAAAATATTTAAGAAAATTGTTTGTGATACGTTTTTATCCAGTCAGAAAATCATTAAAGTTCAAGGTAAAATGCAGAATTTTAGAGAAGAGTAAAACAGATAGCATTGATATGAATTACTTACCTGTGCTTTCCAAAAATGCTCAACTGAACAGAAAAAAATACAAACAAAAATAATGTTCTGCCTTAACAAATGTTAGGCGTACATCCTAATCAAAAGTCATCTTAAGAAGGGTTCATGACAAGACACTTCTATACAGCAATTCAAGATTGAATTTTAAGTCTGCTAGGTTAGAAACATCTGGTTCAATAATTTAGATTGTATTTGGTGAATCTCAAAAAGCTATATCAACTTTCCACCTCAAGATCAGGGAAAGTCATCCTGGCCTGGACCACATGGGAAATGATTCTGAAAGTTTCTCCAAAAACCAGTTTCTGATCTGGTGATATTACGAGACCAGCCTCAAAAAACTAGAATTTTTTTTCTGACTATATAACTAGGGTTAGAATAACAGTATTGTCTGGGCTCAGGAACAAGGTTAATGAAGATGTCACAGGGAACTGGTTAGCAAGTCCATGACAGACACCTACTGTGCAACTGAGAGCACTTTAGTGCTGTCATTAGCCCCACATTAGGAGACAGACTGTTGCCCCAAATTCTACCTATTACAGATTTATTTTCTGTGCCTGAACTTTGAAGTGACCAATAAATCAAACAGCCTGAACCATTTGTAGTCTCTCAGACATTTTTGTCTAGCCCTATCATTCCATGCTCTATTTTACAATTCAGTTCATGTTCAGTATCTAAAAAAATAAAAGTAAAAAATGTGTTTAGGGATACCATATTACATAAATAACTCTAAGTTAAGGCAAAAAGAATATAAAGCCTGCAATATCACAACACAGCAGATGATACATAGCAAAGTGTTGTGAGGGTAAGTCAGGGAAATAAATAGCTTCCTATTTAAACGAAGTGTTAAGATATTTATTTTAGTGAGAGATTATGAAGAGTGTATTTTGGGTTTGTCTTGTCAAATCACACGTACTTTTTACAGATTTTATACAAAACACTGCAACACTTAACTAGACACATATTTCTGTGCTCAAAACATTTAGTAGGCATCTGCTACCTCTGGAGTAAGACTTCTAGTAAAAAATGACCATTAGTTGACGAGCTTGAAATCTCTAAGAAGTGTCAAGGATTTCTGAAGATTTTATACACTTATGGAAGACCGTGAGGAGAGAGGCCAGTCTTCCTCATTGCTGGGTCAGGGCCTATCACAGCATAACACTCAAAGGCTGATTCCTATGTGTTACTGTATCAGAGTAAAATCCTTAAAAATAACAAAACATAAACACGAAAAGAATCAGAAAGATAAAAAAAGAGCAAAGATATGTAAAAAAAAGTTAAATTCTGTAATAAGAATTCTAGTAACTCTTTTTAAAGCCTTTTGAATTTGTGAAATAATTTTCTACGGAAAAGAGTGCTCTGGAAATGGTTATTTAATAGTGGCTTCCAACTTCCAGTTCTATTTCCTATGATTCTATGACATAAATTATTCTAATGACATTTTAAAGAATGTTTTTAGTAATATTATTTGACTTGTACATAATTTTCTTTTTTTCAAAGTTACTGATACAAAAAAACTTCAGCCTTCAAAAAACCTTGTTTTGTTGTTTAAGGTGTTTGATTATATATTGCTCAGGAGAAAACAGATGTTCTTTTGCCTCTGAATATGATATTCATAGTTTTCTATGCTTGAAAAAAATCAGTGCAAAAATAATTTCCTTCTTCCTTTCTGTTAATCCTATATTATGGCTGATAACTCAAAGAAAATTAAGAAATTCAGAGGTATGATGCCCATGTGGACCAGTACCACATTGTAATTGCTAGGAATGCATGCTCAGCAACCTTAAGAGCTGAAATTGGAAACAAATAGAAAATATTAAAATCAGAATGGCATAAGAATATGAATTTAAGTAGACGCCTTCAATAAATTAGAGTTAAATACATTTATACATAAGAATGCAACAGTAATGTAATGAAAACATATATAATGTAAAGAGAATATAAAACTGAGTAAAAACCGACAGGTACAATCTTAAAGGCTTCACTTACTTGACATGTCCCTGAGCAACTGCTGAACACAAGGGTGTAAAGCCATTTTTATCAGCAGCGTCAACTTGTGCTTCTGCAGCCAGCAGCAATCTCACACAATCTATAAATGGAGCAAAACCTTAGAATGAGTCAACAAGATGAAGCAGTTAAAACTACCAGAGGCTAAAGTCTGCTCAAGGGGCAACAATCAGCCAGTGCCTTGGACTATACATCACACCTTAGGGGATTGAAATAAAAGCTCAGGAAGAAGATTGCAGGAGAGAGATGACAATTGACTCCCGGGGGCATCACCACCCTTTTGCAAAAAGGGCTTGGGTTGGGTTCTGCTGGGATTCAAATTCACGCCCACTGTAGGCAACTCCCACAGTATTAGCTATTTTACCTCCCAAGTGGGGAATCTGACTTATCCAGGAGTCCCTAAAGGCATCACTGCCTACTGGCAGTCGTGACAAATATGACAACCACAGGGGAGATGTTCACAAGCCACACAGACCTCAAGCAACACACCGACCAGTCTATTTTAGGACACTTTGACTTGTGATTGCAACGACAAATAAAATAAGCTGAAAAATTCAAACCTCCCCAAACCATTCCCATTCATACATTTCCAAAACCATATGCTAAAAATAGTACCAGCCTGATTCCATCATCCCTACAGCTAATTTAAGATAATTAATGACACAGTAATTAGACTGCTTTTCATCCACAAATTGGAATATCATTTTATGCAATTAACTTTGAAGAAAACAGTTGGTCTGTTCCTCACTCTTGAAATTGGCTCCAAATGAAAATAAAACAAGTCTTTTGTAATTGAAACTACTACTTGGAAAATAAGCTCAGCTACAACACCAATTACAAACTCCTGACCTGATTTCTGAGCAAGCTTAATGCATGCTGTTCCAGCACTCAGTAAAATCCTGAAGCCAAGTTTTGTTAGTGAAGTTTATCTCTAGATATCAGAATCAAACATATATGAAGAACTACTTGGATACCAGAAAACTATATTAAGAACCACTTAGAAATCTGACTTCTCTAAACCATTCTGCAATGTACTTACTCCTGTTACAATTTTTTCAAATACTAATACAAATGTTGTGGAGTTGACTGAATAAATAATTTAACATTAAGAAATAAGATTTTAAAACACTGTAAGTTATTATTTTGTAAATTAGGATTCTTTAATTTTGAAGTAAGTCATCTGATGTGAAATATTTTTTTGTTATTGTAAAGTTGGTTGTCATGGGAAGTTACCAGGACTTGACCCGTAATTTTTTGTAAGTTATAAAGAAGCTCTCTGTTAACTAACTTACCAAGGCCTTCCAACTGTAAGATAGTACAATTGAAAATAAAATTTTATTTTCATTCACTTTTTGACACAAAAATACTCTGCTAAGAGTGACCTTTTTTTTTTCTTCTTTCCTTTGTCAATCCCACTCCTATATTAAATTATTAGCTCGAATATACAGATTCCTGCTTGACATCCTAAAATAATTCTAAAGTTTATAAGGGATGTTGAAAAAATTATCTAGAAGTTTCAAGTACTTGGCTAGAACACTCTGCTATTTGTTCACAAACCATATGTTAGCCATGCAAAAGCCATGAACACACAGGACAAGACTACCTGTCTAGAAAGGCATGGTTAATTCACACTTATTGATTGGCAGATCATTCAGGTGGTAGGTTATGTCTGTATAAACGCTGTTTCTGATTAAGCATATCTCTGTGAAAATACTGCTTCTGAAAATGGCTTTTTACTCTCAGGGGTAAGTGTGACCATGACAGCTACTTGCATAAGGTAGAACATGTGAGCTGGTAAACCCTACATGACCTGTTCTGGTGGCATATCAAGTAAGATATCTCCAAGATGCCTGGGTCTTCTGGATGGACTTTTTACTGGGATTTGGATAAGGGTAATTTGGGCCAGTCCAGGTTCATTCACTCCAGTTCACTCTGGTCTGCCATAAAAGTAATCAGCAGCGGGGAGTACTTGGTGGAAGAGCAGGCACTAGACAGACATTGGTGCCCTAAGTTAAAAGTTCTGATCATAGCAAAAGCAAAACATGAAAGCAAATTAAGATAAACACCTGGAGATTTTACAGCTGTCCACCACAGCTGGGTAGTTAGTTCTTCCAGAGTGATGGCAAACATCATGCAGATACATCCGGTGGCTTGACAAAGCTGACTCCATGTAGCTGTATGTCTCTGCACCTCACTCCTTTCTACTTCCCATACATTCCAGTTTTTTCCTATTAATCAGGGTGCCACAGCCTCCAAATACTCAGGATAGAAGAGAATCAATTACACTGTAAATGCATATGATTAGCACATAGCTGATTGCAAAGGATATTATTTTCTCCACATCTCTCAAGATTCAGGAACTCTCACTGTTTCATTCTGTCCTTCTCCACCTCTCTGTGGCACAGAATGGTCACAATTTGCAACATCATCCAGCTATGCAGATCTACCAGCTAAGAGAACTACTGTTATTAAGTGCAGTATAGACCTGAAGTGGTTCCTTCTTTGCTTATGGTAAAACCAAGACAACCTGACAAGACCAGCTATCCCAATCTCGTGGTTAAATCAGGAAATTAACAGTTTCCTCAAGTCCATTCAAATATAAAGAAAGTGTGTATTTTTAGGGTGAATTTCTCTCTCTCAGACCTACAGAATTAGGGACGGTGTGTGGTGGAAACAAATCATCTGCTATTAACTTGATGCGCTGGAAAAATCCTCTGCAGCAGCTCTCAAAAGGCAACTGTTCCCAAACAGGAAAGCTACACATTTTCCAATTAGGATAGAGTAGGACAGAATATTTCAGTGCTCTTTTCTAATGTAACTCAATTTTCTTCTACAGAATGGGCTGAGAGCATAAAACAGCTGCTGCCACCATGCCTTTTACAATGTGCTCTACCACTCTCTAGTTATCTACACATCTCAAATACTGTATTTCTTCACTGAGAATGCGTGGAGATCATTCAGTTTCCACTCTTCCTGGAATCTCTGAAACATAGTATTTCTGAAGGGAGATATTAATTTTGCTTGCTTTTATCAATTCTAAAGTTACTCGTTTCTTCTGGCAAAATCTTCTCCAGGAGAAATAGGAAAATCTGGTTAGTTAGAAATCTCAAAATCCATTTAGTCACTAAGTCCATTTTAAAAATATTCTCAATAAATTAAATGATGGTATGATCACCCACCAGTAGGCTTGTATTAAGTCTAATGGTTAGACCAAATGATCTTAAGAGTCTTTTCTAACCTAAGTGATTGCATGAGTCTATGGAAAAAAAACAAACCCAAAGCAACAGAAACTTACCATTGACAACACAACCCAACACACTGAAAAATTTGAATAAATTATTTTACCCTTAAAATGACACCAGTATAATTTCTTTCCACCTGGCTAGTTAAGAAGAGACATTAGAAAGGACTTGAAAAAATATTTATTTCTATACATCTTTTCTTAAGCCTATATAATTTAAGCAAACTTGCTTTTCAAAGTCTCCACTTTGAATTGCTACATATATCCATTCACTTGAGAATAAACTACAAGTAATGAAGAAGTATCATATAATAAAGTTAAGCACAAAAATCTTTCACCATAAATTTTATAAATCTGTAACTTTCAATTTTTATGAAATTTATTAAGGAGACCAACACTGCTGCCATGTGATTCTCTCAATCCATTTAGTTGCCGAAATGTCATGTATTTGTACAAGAAAGTATTTTTCACATCCTGTAAACTATAAATAGAAGAGCAACACTACAACCTCTGTAATACAGTTTTTATCTCAAAAAATAAAACATACAAACAGTTACTGGGTGCATATCTTTGTTTTTATCTTTCCATTTTCACAATTCTGTCAAGTGTCTTTCTTATTTGAAATTTTGACAATGAAACAGGGAACCAAATTGCTGTTGCTGTCAGTAGGAGCTGCTCACTAATTGTAATTGAAAATCACTTGCTGTGAAGCAATTTTAGAATACAAGATGAATAAAGAAGAATTGGGTCAATATGGTCTCCCACAAATATTAGCAATGATAACTGGATGTAAGCCTAGAAGAATACACCAAGCATCCATTCAGTAGGGGGAGAATAATAAATCCACACAATATAGTTAACTAGGATTTTTAATACTGTAGATAAGTTGAAAAAAGGAAAAAAATCACCCGAGGTAAAAAATAAAAAGTACTATTTCACTATTTTAAAGGTCTTGGGAACAGGAAAGAAGTTCAGGTGAAAAGACCCAGATGGTTCTACAAAAAAACCCCACAGCACCTAGGAAGCAAAGAAAAAATATACCATTTTGAGCAAAATTAAAATTCCTCCTTCCCCATGCCTGGTAGCAAAATTAACCCTGAAGATGTCAGAAAAATGTACACTATCTCCCTAGCTGCAGAGTGTGTATGCTAACTTTAGTTTTATTTTTAAAATACTTGAAAATAATTATGAAAGTCTCTCTGTACTATCTGGAACACTGGATCAGGTACTATGCTCACCTTCTACTCTGAAATAAATTTTTGACTTTACTAAAAATTAATGGAATATTTGTCATTGGTATTGCTAGATTTCATCTTTAGTGTCCAAAACAGCATAATGATAGCACTTGCAATATAAGAACCTAGAGGTTTTTATGTAGGTAGAAAAAGCTATAGTAAAGTCCACTGGACTTTTAAAACAAACTGCTGTTTGATAGCCTTGTGTTAAAGGTCTAAAACTATTGCTAGGAGTTTGTATCCATTAAATTCATATCTGTTAGTAACATATTTGCTGCATTTCATAAATATATTAATAAAATATGAAGACTGAGTGTTGAAAGGTTCAGAAATGCTACTTCCTCAATACAGAGGAGAGTTGGGGTCATGGGAAAAGGAAAAAAAAAGTCCTTTGAATTTTCTCAGGAGAGCCTAAGTAATAACAAATGAAGGCTATTTCATTTAGTTCAAAAATTCAGACAGTTCATTTTCTATCCCAAGTAACACACTATTCTGACACTATCTTCCATCATTTTCACTGCTGCTGCCAAAGATCAAAACTCTGATGACCACCTATTCTTTGCTGCTTACTCCCTGTAGAGGAAAGTTCTTTCTTTCAAGCTCTTCTTGCTACAAAAGATCTTTAATTTTCCACAGAATATGGGGTGATAGTATCTGGTAGCTTTTTATACAAAGGAGAGGAGAATTAGAATGGATGATCCTGAAGAATGCTACCAATTTTTGTGCTTCAAATGCCTTCTGAGTTTCAAAATTCTGCTTCGAGAAGCATTGCTTATATACATGTTATACCATGACTTTGATATATAATCTATATATCCCACTTTCACATTTTTAAGAACGCATTTGACCTAATTGAATATTAAAGACGTATGAAGTAAGCTTTCACTAGTTTACATGAATGCCATACTAGATCTTAGCATCATTTACCTGTATGTCCATTCGTAGCAGCAGAATACAAGGCAGAATAGCCATCTTCACAAGAGTAATTAATGTCCAGTCCTTCTTCATTAAGCAGCATTGATAATAAAGTGACATTTCCCTGGGCAGCAGCTTGGTGAAGAAGGGTGGGCCTGCCACCCAGGGGGACAGGACCACCACTTGTTAACAAAGGGGTTAGGGAGGAAGACCAGCCTGTGAGTTAAAGCAACAGAAGTTAGAGACACATAAATAAAGCCCTGCATTTTCTGTGTTCTTTTAAGTACTAAAAAGTATCTTCAAAATGACTGCATTTGCCAGTTTAGCAAAAGTTTTGTGTAGACAAAAGACTACACGTTAGAAGGTATTCTGAAGAATAAAAACTGCATTCAGGAGTCACACTTGTTAGTACAAATGAACAGGACTCCACTACAAAAGGTCTGTGTGAAACTTGTGAACTGTAGTAGCATCTGCATGTGCCAAAGAATTTATATTATCAAAACTAGCAGAAGTTTTAGACAAGTTTTAATTTATTTGCAATATGCTGGCAAGATTTTTTTAAGGTATCTACAGAAAAGTTTTAAAACCAAAGTATTTTTTTCATATGTAATATTATCCTCCTTAGTGCAAACTTTAGTATTTATATATTTAGTACTTGTGTAACTCATGTGTAGTTATAAAGATAAATTGCAGGAAGCCTTTAATGACTTCAGGTGTCTTTCAATAAGTTTGAAAAAACATGTAGAAATCATTTACACAAATAGTACAGAAAAAATATATTAATTATTGATCTCTCCATTAAGATAATGTTCCTTTTACTCAGTGATACTTAAACAAGATATTACAAAATGTTCCACTGGGAACGCATAACAGGTTACATAAAATTAATGTGTAAAAGCTTTCAAGTCACTCCATTAACAAAGGATATTCAATCCAAAACTCTGAAAGCTTAGGAGTGGTTAAGTGTTCTGTTGACTGCTTATCAGCTTTAGTAGGGACTTTGTTAAGAATATGGAGTTTGATGCATAAGGCATGGAATATGTTGTGCATTCTTCCTTGAGCAAGGACTGCAAGAGAAAATAGGAGAAAGGCTGGAGGTTTTTTCAGTATTTTCACTACTACCTTTAGAAAATGCACATTATATTTATCTCTTAAATAAATAACTTTGTCTTCTGTGGCCACAAATAGGCTCCTATATGATGCTGAAATCTGATACAAAGCAAGTTAAGGCAGCTTTTAATGCAGTTTTGCAATGCCTGAGACTGAAGAAGAGCTGCAGGGCGTTAGCTTCAGTTCCATTCAAGCTGGTAAGTGCTATCCAACATCTTGAATTAGAACAAGTGTATGGTAGTACCAGTACCATTCTGGGATGATCTGCTCCACATTTTGGAAAACAAAATGAAATACAGAAATTCTGAACAGAATTCCACTGAAACAATAAACTGGGTACCTTGTAAGATCTCGATACATTTTAATTAACATCAAGACTTACACAAGAGTTCATCATCTGAGCAATACCAATGAAGAATGCATAGTGATCCCGGTTAAAAAAAAAAACAAAACAAAACAAAAAATGCTTGGAGTATTTTCATGTTTGTTTCCAAAGGAAGCTAAATTTGTCAATTTAAATTAAGTTTAGTAACTAAGTATCTAAAGGAAACATATTTTCAGTATTTTCCCAATATTATTAGCTTATTATTATATTTATATTTTTTATATTCAATGTAAGAATTCATCACTGCAGCTATGAAGTTACCTTATCCAAATTTAATCCAAAGATAAATTGTAAAATTAACTCCATACATCTTATAACTTCAATTCTCAAGCTACCTTCTGACTATTAATATTCTTAGCAATACTTACTTCTCCAATACTTTAAATAAGAGGATTTTGAGGGTTTCTGAAGTTTATTAAAAAACCAATAAGCAATACATAAAGTAAATTGTATCCTTTAAGTGGCAAAAAAATACATTACCTTCAACTTCCAGCATTTGAGAACAGTTAACTCTTACAAAATTCCCTAAGGTCCAAACAAAACCTTATGGCATTCCGTTCCATTACTTTCCATGAAAGTGGTTTTATTTTTCCAGCCTTTTGTTATTCCTTGAAACTAACCGTGCTGCAGCTGTTGCTATACATATATGCATGTTTTAAAAGTATCACTTATGTAGTTTTTACTGTCTTCTTGTGGTAGTTACCTGATAGTGGATATAGCCAACACTACAGTTACTAAAACTGTTTATTCGAGTAACACTGGAATTTTGGTAAAATGAATAGTATTTTGGGTCTCCTTTCCTTTTGAAAAAAGTGCAATTTTTTCAATGTAGTTTATTTGCTTTTTTGCTTGTTCTTGGGGCATCCTTAAGAGAAATGCCAAAATGAAAGAACTTTTAAAATGTTACATCTTAATTTTAATTTCAGCTCCTTGAAAATAAAAATATGGTGTTGCAATTCAGCGATGAAATTCATTATACTAGGTTACCATTAAATTAAAACTTTCTACTGATAGATAGAAAAATAAGTAATAACATAAATATAACCTTACATTCTATTATCAGTGTGAAGCAGTACAATAAAATTCAATTCATCCAACAAAATGCACCAACATTAGAAGATACCAACAGATAAAGGACACCATTAAAGACACAAAAAGTTAGGAAATGTGAAGCGTCTGTGAAAGCTTGTAGGGCATGCAGTGATGAAGGGGAGAGGGACAGACAAAAACAGCTTCTGGCATCAGCTTCAGAATGTGAGATGGTTAATTTCAGAGCCTAGATCAGTCCTTCATCCCTCCCTCCCCCGTTTATCTTCAAAGCCAATTGCAAAGAGAGAATAAATCAATCATTACAGAAATGAGCAAAATAAAAAATATATTTCATTGACACAGAAAGCATAAAAGTAAGAAGAAAGTGAAAGCAGAATCCCAGGGGTATGATAATCCAAACGCCTACATTTGTTTCCATTTGGAAGTCTTAGAGCCATTGAACTGTAGAAATCCAAACAGAGCAGAAGCATTTTGGCACCAATTCAAAGGCTGCTGAAGTTAATGAAAACACTGCCACAGACTTTGAATCAGGCCATAAATGTTCATTGTAATGTCTCTATGTGCAGTCTGCTTAATGTTAGTGATGAAGGCCCATGTCTTTTCCTACCAGGGATGAAAAGAGCAACATGTGGCACAATAGCCCATCTATTGTGCTACAATAGCCAAAAGAAGATACGATCACATCACTTTAGCAGAATTCGTAAGTGACAAGATCAGAGCTCCCATTGTAAATTTGCTCTTAATAGTTCCTCTTCCTAGAACCAAGACACTTCCTTACTGAAAATCAGGTTCTTGATATGTTCTGAAAGTAATCTGAGCTAACTAGGAAAGTCTCAAAATGAACAAATATAATACTTCAGTGATTAGGTTACTATCAATTCTTCTGGCTCCATAGTAAGAAGAAAGAAGCATGAATTTATTGACAAACAAAAAAATCATAAAAATGAAGGAGTCCGTCAATGTCCTTTAATATGTTAAAATTGTTTGGCATTGTTTTTAAAAATATTTTAAAATTCTGATTGAAGCTCACTACTTACTATACAATAAAGCATGAGTAAGATTTAACTATGCTCTGCATTAACTGAATGTAAAATTTAAATTCTGAACATTTTCTGAAAAAAAGTAAACAAAACATATTTAAATCAAACAGATCATTAATAATATTAACTGATTCTGTGCCTAGAGGACACAAAAATGCAGATATGGGAAGGAGGTTTCTGCAGTATTTGTAGTTTGTTAGATGTTTCTCACCTCAAAAAAAGTCATACTTAAAAAAAGAAACTGAAAAAAGGAATAAGTGGCATGAATTCAGGTATTACTGAATTATTATTATTATCTAAAAAAAACCCCAATGTAATTAAATTTGGTTTATCTTTCTATTTTCATATATATTTATAAAATCTATTTTTTCTTAGCTTAAAATTTTGAAGGAAATGTTTTCTAAACTTGCATAATAACCGTTGCTCTAAATTAATTTAGTTCTGCAGTTTGCTGCAGAAGAGAACACTTGGCCAAAATAGATTAAATTCCCTGAAAAACATAAAGAAAATGAAATTGAAGAATAAGTGCAATAAAATATAAGCATTATTTTGGGTAAAACAAAAAGAACCTCCAGTATATTTATGTGAATATTACAGATAAAGTTATTAAGGTTCTTTGAGCCTGTATGTAGCCAGTAAAGGAGAATACTGAAATAACATCTCTATATTAATAAAATAAAATAGCATACAGCTAAGTAGAGTTTAAGCAATCTTTCTGAGCAAACTTTAGATCATGGGATATGTTTCCCATCTGCAATTGCAAACATTCCCAAAAAACAGTGTCACTTACAAAGTAGTAAGATCAAATATTCAGAGCAAGGATTACAATGGAATTAAATCAACAAATATTTCCATGCCTCCTCAGAAAAAGTTAGAGAAAGAAAGTAATCTTAAAAATTAAAGAAACCTAACAATCTTTGACAAAAAGTCCTCTCTTTGAGAATTTTCTCTGAAAACGTCAGACGGTTTCACAAGAAACACAAATTAAATATTTGGGGGCAGAGTCCAATTGAAAAGAATGATTTTTCTCCTAAGAAAAAAGATAATATCTCAAGGCATGAACAATACATGGAGTTACGCAGAAAAACACTGGCAATTTAATTTTTAAGGTATGAGATTTATTCTTCTGAAGAATAATAATCAATAACTATCTTAAATGATTACCAAATATCAGATAATTAATGTAATACTAACTGTAATACATACACCTAATTCATGCTGATAGGATTTGTGGAAGACAGTCTCTTGCTTACAAAAACTATTCACTTTGGAGCTGACTTTTCTAGTAATTTGTTCTATGTTCATAAAATCTCAAGATTTTTTAAACAGAATTTTAAAATTCTATTATAGTGCCTAATAGCACTTGAAGGCAAATTAAGTTTGGAAAATATTTGAAATAGTGGGAGACTAATGATCTATCTGACATGGCAATCAGACTCATCTTGGAATATGAATTTAAGATGAAAATTCAGGACACCCATATGAAAAACAGCAAGGTAATAGGCTGTCATCAAATCCCAATGTTGTTGACTCTGAGGAGCAGTAGACAAACAGTAGGATAAGATTTCTGAGTTCATATTTTTATGGCAGAGTTCAGAAAGGAGAGAGGGTTCTGACAGTATGGTGCGACAACCAAATGTTAAAAGGATGACTAGGCTACTCCTGATACATGTAGAAAGTCTTCAATGAAGTGGAATGGGAATAAAAATTGCTTAATAACAGGAAAACTGGAATCTCCTATTTTAAAAACTATAGAGTTTAATATACTCTAATCTGCAGCTCACTTACTTTAAACATTAGTCCTCTTTATCTTTAAAAAAGCCTTCAATATGGAGACTTCCATGAGGTAGCAAACTTATTTATAACATTACTAAATAAGCGAAAGAATTCTCATACCCCTGGAATGTGGAAAAAGTATAAATGAAAATTTTAGCTTTTAGAAAGTAAGAAAGAGAAAGCTACAAGATAAATAAAGCGAGCAAGACGTATAAGAAAACCAAAACGTTATTTCTGAGGGAGACAGTTTGTAGCACATCAATCCCTTTACCTGATGCTGTTACCAGGAGGCTGTCTGAATCACATGGTCTACAGGATGAAGCACTAACAGGGTTTATGGAGGAGCTACAGGCAATGGTGGTGGGAATGACAAAGGAATTTTCTGAACATGCAGGTTGGTTCAGTCCAGGGAAGTGGGAAGGCCAGGCACCCACCTGAGATGAGGCTATGGCTGGTATGGCACAGCCTGCAGGTGCCACAGATAAATCTATAGCAGGTTTTGGTGGCAGTTGAGGTGAGGACTTAGAAATAATTTCCTCATTTATTACCCTGATTCCTTGTGATGAGCTTGAAAGAGGTGAGGTCATGGTTTTGTTGTCAGTTTTTGCACTTGTATTTGGGGATCGATTGCTATCCATTAGAACTTTAAGCTGTGGGTGTGGTGGAGAAGGAGCTTGTGAAAGCCCTGGTTTTTTAGGAGGAATAGGTGGAGGGTTTCCTCTGTCAATTCTTGATACACTTGGAGTCTTTAAAGTCATTTTACCAACTGGGGGGTAAGTGCCAACTTCTGATGAATGTGATGTCCCTGGCCGTGATGGAGCACTACTCTGAGGGCTTGTAAATCTTGAAAGAACTTGGGTGACAGTATTCCGAGCTGCCTGTTTGGCAACAAGGTTGTCACGACTAGTAGGGGATACATCCCTTGAGGGAGGGCTTTGGGTTGTATTTCCATTTTGGTCTTGATCGTTTGTATTCACCTGAAATCTAAATCTAGCTGCTTGGACTCGTGGATTTAGGCCTGGATGGCCAGTAGTGTTGGCAGATGGTGAATGCAAATTGTGTATAGATGAAGAGAGTGAGGAATTCTGAGCTGTGGCAGTTGGTGTGGTAGGGGTGCAAAGGGCATTACTATTTGAAAAAGGGGAAGTGCTACTTGATAAATCAGGGGAGGAGCCTGTACTCGGCCCATTTTCTTCAATTTTGTTTTGATTCTGTGCAAAAACAGGAGTTGTGGGAGGGACAAGTTCACTAGATGAAGACTGCCTATCAATGACAGGCTTCACAAATGCTGCATTGGCACACACATTCATTTTTGAATTGCCAGACACTAGTGGGCTCACTGTAGAAGACTTTACAGAGACAGTCAAAGGCAACTTCTTAGCATTTTCTACGCTACTGTCCACCATTACAGTCTCTGTTTGACAAGCAACAGTTCTTGAACTCGGCTCTTCTGTTTCAACTGAAACAGAAACAAGACTCCTATCTCTATTCTTCTGAGAAAGATTAGCTTTATTTTCATTCTCCTTTTTTAATTGCTCAATCATTTTGATCATTTTATCTCTTTCTTCTCTGAGGTCACTGGTGTGTGTTTCCTCTTTGTGAAGTTTGGCACGCAACTGCTCTCTCTCTGTGTCAAACTCAGACAGCTGCTTTTCCATTTGAGCTTCCATTTGTGTACTCCTTTGTTTCTCAGCTGCAAGAGACTCCTCCAATTCAGTAGCCTTTTTCTTTTCCTCTTCAAATTTTGACATCACTTCTTCCAGTTTCTGGGCTTCTTCTACAATTCTGCCAGACAACTGCTTACACTCTTTCACTAGCATCAATACTACATGCTTATTCTTTCCACGTTCTTCTTCAAGACGAGCAGATAGCTTTTTGTGCTCCAGCTCCAGATTCTGTAACTGAGATTTTTCCATTTCCAACTGTAAGAAAACAGGAGATAATTCTCATTAACAATTCTCTTTTCATAATAACCTAGTATTAACCTGACACTGATATTTTAATCTTTGAGAGTATGACTAAAATGAACTCAGGAAGGTGATTTGTGATATCTAAAACAAGTGCATATAGTCTTATACAAGCAAAATAAAGAGAGAGCCATCTCGGTAGAGCAATTTAGAAACTAAGTAAAATCTTTTCATTTCCTTCATTGACAACAGAGAGACTCCCCCAAGTGGTTAAATGCTTGTGATACCTGTTCTCCAAAAGCAAGACATAATATAAAGTCATCTCAGTAAAGGAACCAAACACAAGTAAGAGACGAGCTTTGCAAAAAGTCTTTGAGGACAGAAATAAAGGGGTTAGGTTTCATTTCTTCCTCCAACTGAAGGAGATTAAGTTCATCATGAACATAACTGGTATCCTGTATCTTGTTTTAACATTCATAAGTAAGACAACTTTTTGGGGCAGGCCAAGTATTTTCCTGTACTTACTAATAGTGAAAATTCCCATTGACATCAGTGATGCATAAGCTAGAATCAAAGAACTACTAAAATGCAGACAATGGATAAGAATAATTTTTTCCCTTATTCATATAGCCATTGCCTTGAATTCATTTTGCCTACTGTTTATGCTTTTGTTCAAAGACTCTCTTCTAGAAAAGAAATGTAAAAATATGGCAATACTTAATTTTATAAAACACCTCCAAGGAAGAAATCATTGTGGGAAATGATACCTACATTTCAAACATCATCTTGGTTTCAAACACCTCAAAATCCGTATAGCAGCATAGGGGATGCACTGGGGTTTTAGACCTTTATCCCAGGTTGACACTCTGCACAATGCCTTTCACAAAACCACACCCACTCTTTCTTAAAAACAGGCTCATAGAATGGCTTAGGTTGGAAGGGGACCTTGAAGGCCAAGCCCCTCTGCTATGGGCAGGCACACTTTCCACTAGACCAGGCTGCTCAGAGCCCCAAAATCAGCGCTAAACATATGAAAAATAAGGTATGGCAATATCAGTCATTGTTAAGCAAACTGTATCAGCAGCAACATCTCTTCCTCTGTTAATGAAAGCACAGCTGCAAATTAAATTAACAAAATACTATAACGACACTGTATTTAGGAATGGTCCCAATCATAGTTTACAAATGGAAAAAACCCTTATTTTTTCCTCAATGATTTAATTGCATTTTCAAAGGATACAACAGCATTTGCATGGTTCACTGGAATTTCAAAACAAATGGAGCATCCAACTGCTTTTTTCTTTGTTAAAATAGGTACAAAAATAATGAGAAATGTATACCATTTCTAAAGCTTGGAGATGTATAAAGATTATAGTGAAAATATTTTCTGTCAAAACTTTCTATACTTTATTATTCTGTGTTTTGTTTTCAGGTGAGGTTCTCATTCTGTAAATTAAGTGTTGTGAAATTATATTACTTGCAAATAATTACAAACAGATTTTAATATTTAACTGGCATGAAATCAGCTTACCATACGATTATAATACCTTATTTGTAAGCATTGAATCTAAATGAAGGCTCCCTAATATAAATGTAAATCCTCTATTTGATTTCAATACACAAAAGCAGCATTATTTTCTCATTTTACATTGTCTCCTATGTCTCTCTCTCTCCCCCTCTTGTTCTTCTCTCAGCAGCATCATCCTGAATAGGAAAAGCCTCTGAACATTTACATGGTATTTTTTCCTTTAGATGACAGATTTGGAACTAGCTGCAATTATTTATGAGCTTATGAACTAAGCAGAACTTGATTTTTGCAAAATGTACTATATGCTTGCACTTTATCATATCAGTAATATAAACATCTGTAAATGAGTCCAAGAAGGATTTGAAAATGAGTAGAAAATGATACTGAAAAAAAATATAGTGTCCTACAAACAATTAACCAGCAAAGGCCCTTCAGAGGTGAGAGACAGCCTGCTTTGTAAGAAAATGTTGAGGAAGCTTGGCTTGCACAGTTTAGTGAAAAATAGAAAGATAATCTAACAGAAACATCCTTTTGAAGGACCCTTACAGTGATGACAAGAGTCAAATTTATCTTGGTAATGGTAGGTGGGGCTCCATAATAAAAGGTTTCAGAAAAGAAAACTTGCCCTTTGAGAGGCTCAGTCTCAGAAAAAAGTTCTTCACAAGGACACCAGTGCAGAAAAGATGCAGTATTGCCATTCCTTGGGGCTTTCATGACTAAGCTAGACAAATTCACAGATGACCAGACGTATTGATGATGACAATCTGCTTTAAGCACAAGGTTAGAATAAATTACACCAACAGGCCCTTTCCAACCCACGCTTGCCTTTCTTTGAGCATGCATCCCAATACTAACTCCTCTGCAAACTCTCAACAAATCAAGAAATGTCATCTTGATGATCTGTTTTGTGTTCCCAGGAAAACTCAAAATCACTTTTCACAGCAGCTCCAAGAAAAGCATTCAGAGATGGAAGAGAATGGAGACTGAACACAAAGCAGATGATATCTGCTTTGTTTGTATATGGTAAGCCTATGACTTACAGTCCTTTGTGCACCTTCCTGATTTTACTACATGCTGATGTATTTTTATGTCTTGTTTTTTTTGTGATCAAATAAAAATTTTATTCATAGAATACTTTTGAGGTGATTATATTCACATATATTAAGTCTCCCCTGGAATAAGAATTCACTCTTAGTCTGTTTAAAGTTCAGTTATATCCAGAGAAAATAAACACAGCTGTACATAGACTTCATTATTTACAGTGGGACGGTGAAGCAATTCCAAACATGAAGAGAGAGGCATCACACATTTAGAGAAGGAGGAACTACTCTTGGAGGGTGGGGGTGCAGCTGGCTTGTATTTAGGTCACATTTGCCTGGGCTGATTTTTTTTCTTTTACTGTGTCACCCTACCTTGCTGAACATTTTTTGAAGTCCCTCAAAACATCTTCATTAACCTCTTCAACAGAAGGACTTGAGAGATAAAGAATAGATAGAAAAATGTGGAACAGAGGGAAGGTAAAATACTGAATGAATGGTTTGTGAATTAGTGGAGATGGTTGACAGATACATCATATGTTGCCACAAACCAAACGAGTTTAAGAGTATCTTGTACAAATAGCATTTCTAATGGAGCTTAAAAGAGGAAGATGTAATTCAGTAGACAGTCATGCACACAGCTGCTCAACAACATGCAGTTTGTTTTCAAATCCTTAAAATTAAGATTTAAAGGAAAAAAGGCTCATGTATTCTTCTAGGAAGCAAAAGACGAAAGTGTCCTTTCCTGTACAAACAGACTTACAGACATAGACTTTGGCAAAAAAAGACAAAAAAAGGATAAAATTGAATTTACATATTAAAATACTGACATATTCTTAATATGTGAGCCTATCTTAACTGCATGTATCTGTCCATATAATAAAATCCAGAGATAGATGAAGAATTTAGGTACAAGAAGAGATTTGTGGCCATGCACTGAAACAAGAAACTAATTCAACTGTCCTGGCAGACGTGTCAGAGTTTCTCCCAATATCCTTTTTCAGTTAGAACAACTAAGCTTGCTTGCCCTTTCCTATTTTTTCTGTTTACTGGAAAAGCTTATGAGAAAGAAAATTAATACTTAAGAGCTCTCAGAAAGAAGTGTGAGGTATGTATCAGCAATAGTTCACTCTGCATTAAACTGAAGACTTACATATCATACATAAAGTCTAGTAATATCCTTTTTTTAAAAAAAAAATGTTTTCCTGAAGTCTTAACAGAGCAATGATGCTTATACTAAACTAAAAAACAGAGTAACAACAAAGTAAGAGCAAAATGTTTGCTGGTTTAATTTAAGCACGTATTTCCAGCAACTTCCAGCACTTTCGCATGCATGTTTTTTCCCAAAGAGCAATTATTACCAAAATGAATTTAATGTCAGTTGTCTTAGACTGTTTGTTGTTTGGAGGTTTTTAAGTCAATGTAAAACTGTCACCAAAAAGCTGTATCACAGCAGTATCCATTTTATACCCAGTGAAGATGATTAAACACATAGAGAGCATTTTTTTTCTATTTATACCAATAAACCTTGTCTCGATTAGTCTTTTATATGACTGTTCCCTCTCTTTCCTCTCAGAAACACCTCCCCAACAGATTCATATTTAGCTATGTTTTACATATTGGTGAAATACAGGCCACCAAACAATCATTCACCTTCAAAATTACATTGTTTTATCTTCAATCTGGCACTTTTTTCTGCAACGTAGGTGTTCCAAAATTATTTTAGTTTTACAGTAAATGTTCTAAATATACAAAAGAAGTATTTTTAGAGTTATGAAACATTTTTACTGATTTATGAAATAGACCCACCTGATATAAAATTACAATAAACTATTTATTCAGGTTAGAACGAAAATAACAATAGGTGCTCAAGGCTCCAACAGTATTGGTTTAAAAATATATTGTGATGATGCTATCTCAGTTCACACTGAGCTATCTACTTATATAGCCACTGTATCAACTTGTACCAGTTATATTTAATTTTTTCCATAAATAGAGCTAAATTCACAGAACAAATGAAGTGTGCATACAAAATATCACCAGAAAACCAGCATCTCACCCTATATGAAAATGAACTGGCAACATTTTAACACTCATAATGTTAATAAAGACAAAGATGCAAATTTAAAAAGTGACACAAAAGAGCAAATCAGGAGAGGGAGAAGGAAAAAGTCAATAGCAGGATACCTTCTTTTGTCTGTTTTCAGCAGCAGCCAACTGAGCTGACATCCTTTCTTGCATTTTCCTGCAGTGAGCCATAACAGCTTCTAAAATGGACAGAGGGTTCATGCATATTGGCTTCTTTTCTTTATCACCAGCACCTGCCTCAAAGTCTCTCTGAAGAGCCAGAAATGGGTCGCTCAGATTAAATCTTCCATATCGCTCCTGGATAAAAACCTCTTTGCGTCGGGCCTAAGAGGAGAAAAAAAAAAAAAGTAAACTAAAAACAGAGAAATAAAACCAAATGCATTCTTTGAAGTACACCCACACAAAGAAGAAACTTAGACTACAGGAAAAGCAATATACGTCATTTAAGGTATTAAAATATTTTCTTTAGGTATTAACTTACAATCTCTGAAAGAAAAATACTCCTCAGAAAATCAGGAAAACACCCACAGTCCAGAGAAACACCATCAAGAAAGAGAAATTTCAAAACCAGAGAAAAACATTTCTCTGCAACTTGGTTCAAATACTGTTTTGAAGAATAAGCAAAAAAAAAAAAAAGGAAGAATAAACCAATTCTGAGATACAAAAGAGAAGAAAGAGACCAAATGCTCACCCAATAGGTTAGCACGTCATTTGGAAAGCTTGAAGTTAAAATTTTAACATATGAAAACTTCATTAATAATAACACACATTTCAGGGCATGAGAAAAGAAAGAAGAACATTAGACTATGTTAGAAATTTCCTCAAAGACTAACTACAAATTATGTACCTTAGTGAACAGACAACTTTTTTCTATATTTTGTTGACAAAATTGAAATGTTGTTGGAAATGAGAATTTGTCTGGAAAAGAAACAAGTGTGCCTACACATTCTGATGCTTGAAATACTTCTAGTTAGTTTTTCACTATGATAGTATAAATAGAAACTGAAAACTGTTATTAAAAATACCAGGTCTTTGGAATATAACTTCAGAAAAAGCTGACAGAGTTCACTCAGACATAAAGTCTAGTTTGGCTTACCAAGTCAGGTAGTGACATGTTGAAGAGATAAAAAAATAGATAGAACCTGGTTATTTTTCATAAAATGCCTTGCAAATAACCCCTTATTAGTCTAATTAGTCTAATATTCTATTCCCTTAATTTATAACTTATAAAATAAACCAGCTAGTTCCAAAGGTAATATTTATTACAAGACTTGGGGGAGGGGCTGTATTTGTAATTTGTGGTTCTATAAGATGAAGTTACAGGACAGTATGCAGCTTAGGAATTCAACCTTCATGGAAAGGAAACCATCAAAAGCAAAAGCCTTACCATAAATGGATTAAATTGCTAATCAGCCAAGCAAGATGATAAATCCAAGCAGGTTAAGAATTTAAACAGAGAGGGATGCACAGTCCATATATAAATTATCAACAACTTAAAAGCCACTTAGTTTATATAAAGTGAGACATCAAAGTAAAGAAAAAACAGATGTAGCAGGTCTGCTGTAAGTATAAAAAGTAGACCACCAAGAGCCCTCATTGTTAAATCCAAAGAAAAAGCCAAGATGATTAACTGACCTTAGAGGCAAAGGCAATCTACCTGTGCCTTTATGGAAACAGATTGCCAACCAGTGAAATAATGTGTATTTTCTATATTTTTTCTATGACCCATGACCAGCTGTCCTCTTGGCAGATATTAAATGCATGTAGCATGAATATCTTCTTTGAATTGTTTTCTAACATGCACAGCAATTAATAGAGCAGGGCAAAAAACTCAGCATGCACCTGCCAAAATAGCAAGACGACCAGAGGTTCAGATTAATTCAAGAAAAGAATGAAACTAAATAGTAGGGAAGAACTCCATCTCATCAGAATTAAAGTGGCTATAGCAAAATGTGGAAGGTAAATACTGGAAAAAACAGTAAGTCTCAAAGAGCACTTGTTTTGGGATGACAGACTGGCTAAAATCGTAACTGTATAAACTCAAGCACAGGGGAAAACAGACTAGCAACTATCAAACCATAGATAACAAAGTTATCTAAAGATGCTTCCAACTCAAAGGGGAACTAAATTAAAATACTAAAACAAATGCTTCCGTGTCTTTATACAAGGACTATAAATATAAAATACAATCATTGTATGATTTCATGGGATGAAAGTGATTCAAAAGGAAGGTACCAGAACAAAAGACAAAGCAGAAACTTGGTAGAAGGGAGATAATGAGTATTTTCCCAAAACTTAGGCACAAAGTGGCAGAAAGACAAACTAGGCTTGAGGTTTTTTACACAATTCCCCAAGCCTCTAAATAATACTTCTGCCCCTTTGCAATTCACTAAAGTACAACAGATGGGAGAAATAGAAAAGTTAGAATCAGAACTTTTTTCTCTTATATTGTCTTTCTTTACTGAATTTCAAGTTATAAGAGTTAGTAGCAATATCACAATATCTTTTTTTCAGGGCAGTCATTATCTGTGGAATATACAGTCTAAAATCCCACTCCTTTAAAAGAGTGTCTTTGTAATTTGGTGGTTGTGTTAAAGCAGCATTAGCAGTGTCTCATATATAACTTCAACTGCACAGCAATATGTAGAAAAAATAACATTTAAACCATTTATTTGTGAATTTACTGAATTAATTTCCAAACACAACATTTTCAAAATTAGACAGAATACGCACTTGCTATAGGAGGTCATCAGGACTACTGTGAAAGGTGCTATATGCATTTATAAACTATCAGCTTTAGTTTTCTGTACATACTCATTTGCTCAGCAATGAACTTTTTAATGGAAGGACTGAGACTGGAAGAATTCAGAAGTGTGAAAAGATGTCCATGGGAAATGATACTTTTTTTCAGCCTATGTCAGTGGTACTCAAAATCATGACTTAAGATTTGAGCTAAACCCTCCAACAGGTAACTGCTAATGAAAAGTGACAGTAGGCACACACAAATCAAGACAAAATATATAAAACCAAAGACAAAAACCCTTTAAACAGTTAATGCATGAAATTCACTATGGCAGCAAAAGGTTTACCTTACTTACAACAGCTTTTTAATTCAGTCAGTAAGAACATCACATTTATACAGAACTTTTAAATCTTACACAAGACCTGAAAAATTAAACAAGGAGACTAAAAGAAAGCTACTACTTAAAAAACCTAAACTTCAGATTTTTTTTTTATGGCTGATCTGCAACATTATGTTAGATCAAGCATGAACTACCAAAAAAAAAAAATAGATCTCAAAAATATCTTCAATGTTTTCATTTTGATAATTTCAAAAATGATCAAAAGATGCAACACAGCGTGTCTTCAAGGAAAAGCTAAGTAGAAATAGGACTTTTCAGCGTGAAACAGAGACAATCAGGGAGAAAGATGCTTGAGGTCTGCAGGCTGACAGGACAAATAGCAAGCGCTACTTGTCCTAGGGTCTGATGAGGGAAATTTGAGTTGGACACAAATTCCTTTCACTGAGAGTAGATAAGCACCAGAACATGTTACCCAGGGAAAACAGGTAACTTGTATCATTGGGAGATTTCCCAAGATAGACTGGATAAAGCCAACTGAACTCAGTCCATGTTTGACCTTAGTCCTGCTTTAAGAAGATTGGACTGAACAGATCAATCTCTCAAGATGCCTTTATACCTACATCACTGCATAATTAGTGATTTCTTCTAGGATTGTAATTTATTTTTTCTTTTTTTTTTAGCTTATAGATACTGGTAATCTTGTCAGTCAAGTAACAAATGACAAAAATGAGTTCTCAGAGGAAGGAAAAATCAAATACTGGTAGAACAAGTCTTATTATGTCTTGCTTTGGATCATGAAAATAATTTTTATGACCTGGGAAACAGAATTTTTAGTCTGGGATATTTTCAAGAATAAAAATCAGTACTAAACAATCCCTAGGGATTATGCAGCTATACAATACAAGGGGAAGGTTTATTCTCAACTTTTCTCTCCTAAGACTGTAGCCAAGAAGAATCTGAAGGATCGGGCTATAAAGATAAACCACTTCTTTTATGACTCTCTCAGGGAGCCTGTCTCCTACCACATACAGCAAGACACCTCATTTATCCTAAACCAACCTTTTTCAAGTTACCTCAAGTTATCTGCAAGCTACCTTATGGAAATTTTCACTTCTTAACCTGACCTTTTTGCAGTCATTGACCCCATTTATCGACTGGCAGATGAAGATGGGCAGTGGGGTGTACATAGAGAGGAACAAAAGAAATGAGGATATCTGGAAAATGGACTGTGGATAAAGCTGCAAATCCAGTATAAGAACTGGTCTGTAACTGTTTTTTCCTTGCATTTCACTTCAGAAGAAAACAAAAAATTATTTTCAGTAACCAAACTGAGAATTATGAAGTCTAATTAGACTTTTTCTCCTGTTACTGAAACAAGAATGTAAGGGGGCAAGAAGGTCTTCAAATAGTATACCTCTTACTGTGGACTTATAGCTAAAAGCATAAAGCTAGGAAAAAAGAAATATGATCAAATAATGTGTATAAGAAATAAGCCAAATAATTAAAAAAATAATCACGTAAGCTATATTATTAGTTTTATACCCTTAATAATTTATGTTGATATTAGTTGCATACATCTGTTGAAATAGGCTTTCATAATTAGCAACATAATACACATAAGCAACAGAGTTTTTAAGGTTAATACCGTAATTTTCCCCCAATGTATCTCAGAGTTTCCTCTTTATGTATCTGCCAAGTTAAGACAGTTCAGCAGGTCCAAATCTTCCATGCAGCAACCGATGATAAACATCAAAAATAGGACTGCATGTCCTACACTGCTGGGGAACAACGGAACTGAATTAAAGCTGCCGCAGAACCCTTAAACAAAATTTCCTTCCTTTCAAGAGCATTTGTTGCTCTGATTAATTTCCTTTTCTACATTTACGATAATGGTTTCAACAGATGTTGACAGGTTCATATTAATATTTTCTCTTGACACATGAATTAGGGAGTGGTAAAAAATTTTCTAAAACAAACCAGTACAGAAGAGGAGGCAGTAAAAGCTTATTCTATGTATTATGTTAAAGATGAGGGTGAGCCCTTCATTCTAAATAAAACTAAAAAGGTAATTGATTTTTTTAAAAGAGGAAGATGTCTGAAAGAGAACACGTTTATAAACCTTCTTCAGTGAAATTATACAGCTTCTTTAAGTGCTTTGGTGTAGCTATTCAATTATGCTAAAGAGAGTTATCAATGAGTATGTACTAACAATAAAAGCAGTATTTTCAGATACACCAGCAA